TTATTACGTAATGCTAGTTCTGCTTCCGGGGGCTCGCCTTTGATTCAAATACTCGAGTAACCTCTTTCGATCACCGGTGCCGGCACCAATGAAATTGTTAATTTTAAGTGCTGAATTATTATCACGTGCTCAGCGGTAAAGGAAAACATCGTTAGGAAACCTACATATTTTCGAAATAACAATAAAAAAAAAATATTTCGAAGTTATGTGAAGTCCGCCAATCCGCAATGGGACCGCGTGGTGGACTATGCCCTGATACCCTCTGTACAGAGGAGGCCTTTGCACAGCAGTGGGACATTAGGCTGATACTTTTCTTTACCGTTAGTATGATATAGCTAGTTAATACTTCTGGGACTCAGTTATCCCTTTTTAACTGTTTAATTAAAGTGCTATTCAGATGTAAAGTCAAATCTTTTGAATAATTATAAATTTTGTGTCCGATTTACGCAGAGTGCTAGTTATTAATAGTTTTATTAAATATAGGATTTCGAGTATGGTAGTATCCAACCTTTTTTATTGTCGTATAATCATTTTTAAATTTCAATAGCCTCGCGAATCATCCTTGATAAGAATTGGTGTCAGTTTACAAGGATTTGTGGTATATTAGATATTATGTTTAGGGAGACTTGAAATGTGTTCACAGACTTGTTCGTTCCTTTCTTATATCAACCAAATTTTGTCCTTTTTTCGAGATTGGAAAGATCTCTTTGTCTTCTCTTTAAGAGAGAGCATTCACAATAGAACTTCCACTTCGTTATGTACAACTTTAAACTTTTGTTTGACTTTTAAAATTTAAACGGTTAAATTAAATAAAATTATTAAAATTATTTATTAAATTTTCATTTAATAATGAAATATTAGTATTGATTTAGTAAGGACTTAGTACCGCGAGTCCAGACTATTATTTATATTAAACGGCCGTAGCGTGTGGTGACAGTCTCTTTAACAGAGCCGGAGCACATGGAAATAATTTTTAGATTAAAAAAATAATATACGAAATAAAATGTTTAGAGAATTAAAAAAAAACATGTGTTGACTTATTTACGCACGTAAGAAGTTAAACTTTTTAGCGTAACAAATGAAAAATACCTAAAATTTTAATCCCCTGTGCCTGTAAGCGTTGTTTGAGAAAAAGACATTGAATGCATTTTGATTAGATAGAGAACGGTTTAGAACAGTTTAATTAGATAGCTTGCGGTAATAGGTACATGTCAAAAAGTTGTTATTGCTTGCCATGGAAATACCGTTAAGTTAGTCGAAGTTGGTCGCTTTGCAACCAATTTCAATATGTCGGTGTTGGTGTGCGCGCGCATCGTAGAAATGTTGCTCTCATATATTTTTCCAAACGCTCCAAAAGAAGTATAATTTCAAGAATAACTATTGCTCTGTTACAAACATTAGGTCATCCAGTCATTTTCGGTACCTTTATGTGGTAATTGTGCATACGCAAATTAGCGAAAATTAGCAAATGAAGCGTGACCTCGCGATATTTTTCAGTAAACTGCATCGTTAACAAAGAGCAAGGTTGGGTAATTTTGCCTTACTCGTTAAGAAGTATCAGCTTGAATAGACCGTAGCATGAATAATACTATTTACGATTATTAAATGAAATTATTTTACGAACTTTATCATTTTATCTTCCTTATTATTACATAGTATAAAATGAAGTCGTCCCGCTCTCTGTCTGTCCCTATGTATGCTTAGATCTTTAAAATTACGCAACGGATCTTGATGCGGTTTTTTTACTAGATAGAGTCATTCAAGAGGAAGATTTATATGTATAATATATGCATAATATGGGAGAAAATCTTATTAGAGTATATTTAGAATTAGCATTGCACCCGTGCGAAGTCGGGGTGGGTCGCTAGTTACATATAAGTAATTCTAATGTACGTGTGTATGTCACTGAACTCCTCCTAAACGGCTGGACCCATTTTAATGAAATTTTTTGTGTGTCTTCTCGTCGATTCGAGAATGGTTTAGATTCACATTTTTTTTAAGTTGTCGGATTTAAGTCGTCGGTACGGGACAACGGCTACCCGGTCCGCTAGTTTTGTTATATAAATTAATAACGTTTCATGATTTAAATTTCTCAAAAGTAAAACTAAAGTTAAAATGTTCTGAGAATTGGAAATTATTTTTTAATTTTAATTCGACAGTGAATATCTTATTTTCAGTACCGAAAGGAACGAGTCTCAACAATTGAACTGAAAACCACACATACGATTCTCACATTGTCGAAAGAACTCTCATACGAACCTCATACATACTTTTTTGTAGAAAGCTCTACAAGTTTCTTCACATTTCATCTACTGACAAACTTTAAATTTTAACAAAGAGTTTCTTATTTTATCACGTGATAAAATAAGGCACGTTTGTTTTATTTGTTTCCATTTGTCGCATTGAATACATACTTTAAGCAGAAATCGGATACTATGAGACATCCCGAATGCCGCAATGCGCCCAGACAGGCTGGCGTCCAAATGTCGGGAGATTTTGGCGTATTTGGAAAAAAACATTAATAATTCATGACAACCCTAAGACAGTAATTCTGAGCGTTAGGTGCCATACATAAAGCATTTTAATTAGTCTTTAGCTCTGCATTTTGACTGCAGAAGTACTACTAATATACCAAAAAGTCAATTTATGTCGTGGTTTTTAAGCAGGTCTTCCTCCACGATATCTATTTTGCTACGTAACTTTCCAGTAAAGAAGAGGGTCCAGAAAATGACAAACCTACAACTACAATCTACTTTTATTAAGAGGCGCATAATTGCACCGAAAATTTTTTCTTCGTCTAAAAACTCAATATTAAGTTTCTATGAAATTACATCGGTACTTTATATCCATTTCGACAGTCTTTTAATTATTTTCTTTTATTTATAGAATTAGTTCAACGATCTTAAATTAATTCATAAAAAATTGTCTATAGCTCTGTGCGAGTGAGGTAAGTAATCAACTCTTAAAAAAATAGTACCTGGGGGATCGAGCTATGCTCGGTTTGTTTTTTTTTTTTTCGTAAATCGGGTGTTTTGGAAATTACATTTAGATACAAATTACTGAGTAATGAAATATGCATAATATTTTTCGATCTAACTGACCTAATAATAAGTTCACAAAAGAAACAACTTTAAAAAAAAGGTAAAAAATAACAAAATCATCTGGATCAACTAAAAATAAAAAATAAAGAAAGCAAAGAAAATGTGAAAGCGAAAAAAAAGTAAATAAAAGAGTGTGTAAATGATCGTGACACGAACCACGGCCGTCTGTTTTGGAGCCGCACGGCCAGCTGTTTTGGAGCCCGCCGGTTACCGACCGAGCTATTATAACTTTTTTTTGCGGCGAAATTTACCGTCATATTCGAATGATATATTTTTCATTCCCTGAAAACAGGGATAAAAGGACATTTTCTAAAAATGAAACCTAGCTTGATCGATTTTTCGCCCCCGAATGTACGCACATACTAAATTTCATGAAAATCGCTGGAGCCGTTTCCGAGATTCCGATTATACATATATATATATTCCATTATAAAATTGCATTTTACAATAGCTGTGGGATCCATCGTTGTATTAAAATTTGATTTTTTATTTGTTATTTCTATAATTTATTCCGTGCTTAACGCAAAAGGAAAACACCATGAGGAAACAAGATTTTCAAAATAATAATAAATTAAAAATATATCAAAGATATGTGAAGTCCACCAATTCTTTACACAAAAGAGGCCTTTGCCCCGCAGTTGGACATATGCAGGCTGTTACTTCATTATTGGTTGGTATCTACCATCCTTTGCAGCTAAAAATGTTTTTTGCGACGATTTGTGTTCTTTCAAATCTGACATAATAGTGCTCGCAGACTGTAGACATACTAGATTTAACAGATGTAGCAAGTTTAGCTATTTGATGACAGCTCTATGATCTTCAACGCGGGGTTTGATTGTTCTCTTCGTTTGTAAGATATCAGACAAGCCACAGTCCACATTCACAATCAAACGTGTACATCTCTGGATCTTGTACCGGGATATTAATTACACTTGACAGGATTCAGAAACGATTTTTCTTCAGGGTTAACTAATTTTGTCTGTGACCCCTCTTACATTTATGGAAGAACTTTAGTACTCGCTAAACTATGGAGTTTTTTGTCACTGCGGCATAGGCTCATTGCTAGATGCTTATTGAGAACCAGGCGTTCCATACCGTACCACATATTCATCGTACTCTCTAAAATAAATAAAAAGATTTCCTTTACAATAGCAAACTAGAAAGAATGTTGGTGAGAGACGCCATTTAAATATCGGTTTGTATGAGTTGTTTTCCTGTACACAGTTACAGTTCAAAGTGTTATTAGTAGTGCGGATAACTAGAACGTTCAGGAAAGGTAAAAAGTTACATGCCATTGATGTCATAGTTAATCTTTGGGATTTATTGTGTATTTTCTGATTCTTGGTGTGGTTCGGTATGGGCCTTGACTGCAATAGCCGTTGTGTGAAAGAAATTTAGATGGGGCCAGTGAAAAAAGCACAAATCCAAGGTCATCACTGGCAATTCACATTATTGAAGATTGTGGTCTTTTCCCATTGAAAAACATTATACGATAAGATTATGCCAAAGTTTCCCGAATCTGAGTTGGCTTAAATAAAAATTGGATTAAGTTGGAGTAAAGAAATAAGAAAAGAAAAATTATAGAAGACTGCGGTAAAAATAACTTTGTACTTTTTTAAGCACAGTATTTCAAAAGAAGGTAAAAACCAAGTAATCTACAAAAAAATAAAATTTTTTAGATATTAATATTATAGAATTGAAAATATTTCGTATAGAGTAGTTTCTGAACGTACGTGTCACACGTAAAGAAAAGAAAACAGATTTTATTTACATTTAAATAGTTGCTATTTTTAGAACAAAATATATATCAATATAATGTTTTTATAATTATCTAGAACTGAAAACACAGTGGGTATTTTTGTGACTTTAAAGTCAAACATTCGTTTGTTGGATTCTGCAATGTTTAATCCTGACATAAATGATTATCAACTGACTTCCATAATAGCCGAGTGTTGTGGCGGAGTTGCAGTAGTTTATTCGGCATTATACAAGCCAAATAATCAAAATGTCGCAATAAAGAGGTATTTTGTGGATAAAAGCAAGGAGAAAGCTAATTTGATACAGGTATTGTTATACAAGAAAACATATGTAAACTTTTGATACAAATTACAAACTTTATTTAATGTCATAAATTGAACTATTTTCAGATCTCATAATACTTCACTGAATTGAGTGATCAATAACATCTGGTTTTCTTAATTTCAGCAAGATATTCTTACAAGAAAAGAACTACAACATCCTAACATTTTATCTTACTTGACATCATTTGTCCATGGTAAGGAATTGTATGTGGTATCTCCGTTAATGAACCTTGGTTCCTGCCGTGATGTGCTTGATAGATATTTCCATGAAGGTTTACCGGAACTTGCTTGTGCTATCATATTGAGAGATGTCCTTCTTGCTTTACAGTATTTGCATAAGCAATTATTTGTTCACAGGTATGTCTTCATCAAGTTTGACATTAAAATTCATGATATTGTAGCTAAGGTGTTTTTCAGTATTTTGCAAGAAATTATTATTCCCTGATGTTTTACAACCAGATGTAATTTGGCAATGCTTTTGTAACAGAATTTAATTTCTGCATTACAAACATCTTGCAATTTTTACTTATTATTTCGAAATTTTATCTTTATTTCAATTTAATTAAAAAATTAAAGATCAAAAGAAACACTAATATCAAATAAGTAATAACTATAAAAAAATATTAAAATAAGTCAATAAATGATCAGTCAATTAAATGCACCAATTTCAGGAGTGTCCGAGCAAGTCATGTACTTCTTGATGCAAATGGTAGTGTCAAGTTATCTGGGCTCCGGAGTGCAGCCTCTATGATGGTCCGTGGTAGGAGGCAGAGGCAATTGCACAGTCTACCTCCTCCAGATCATGACAACGCAAACTTAATGTGGCTGAGTCCAGAATTGTTGGAACAGGTACCTGATATGTATATGAAATAGAAAATATATAATTCCTATAATGTAATGTAGAAACCATTGCAAACAGTTTCATATTAATTAAACATGATACATGTGCAAGATGCTTAAAAATGTTATGTATCATTGCTGAATGGTACAAGCAGTCCACGAACATGCGATTTTCACCCACGCAATTTTTTGCCATGCATAACCAAATTGTGACATCAGTTCTCACTAGTGCCAATAAGATTCAAGAATAAAACCTATTGCTTCCTCGAAGGAAGGCAATGGCATTTGTGACTACTCTGGTGTTACAAGCGGCAATGATCACTCAAATCAGTTGCCCTTTTGCGAGCTTGCAACATTTTACAATGAAACATTTTTCTGCAACTATGATTACAGGACATACAAAGGTTGACATGCTTATGTAATGTTAGTACTGACCTTAGACATTTTATCTCCGACAATGTATAAATGTAAGCTCTGAATGGTGTGATGAAATTTAATTAAACTATTTTACGGATTTTATTGTGTTCAAAATACAGGAATTTAAAAATCTAATTGAATGCTATAAAATTCAAAAAACAGTTTCATCATTTCACAATCCCGACAATTCACAATCAATGACCCCAATGGAGTAGTGGTAGTGTACCTGCCTCCTGCGACAGAGGGTGTGGGTTCAATCCCCACTACTGAAAAAACATTGTGTGATGAACATACACTATGTTATGGACTCTTTTCTAGTGTCTGGGTGTTTATATATGTATACAGCGTGTCCAATCGTGACAATAAATCGTTACCATCGCGACATTAATTGAACACACGTCTAACGCTACTTGCCAATAATCATAAAAACATATTATCGTTAAACAAAATACATAATTAAAAAAAAATATTTTTCAAACAAACTAATTAAGTAAAAAAGAAACAAAATTTGTAACATCCTATACAACTCGCGCCACAGCGTCGTATTACAAGCCTCTCCTTCTAACAGTATGTTTTGTCTCTTTTAAATTCATTCAACCCATTCATATGCTTTGTGACTTGACTTTACGTTACGCTTTTATAGGTAAGGGTGTTCTAAAATTCTATGTTTTGGAAAATTTTATAACTCGGTAAATATTGATGTTTAAAGAATTTAAATGTTTAATACAACTTTAAAAAGCTATCCCCTATATGTGTGTTCATTTATTGTTGCGATGGTAACGACACGCTGTAATATGTATTTATTTACAAAAGAAAAGTATGCATAAGTATGTTTATCAGTTATCTAGTACCCATAGAACAATACAAAACATACAACCTTTGCTTAGTTTGGGAATAGAGAATGTTGTGTTAAAAATATGTCCTAAAATATTATTTATTTAATGTATAATATTCGCGTAAAATCAAGAAATCAATATTCTGAATATTTATTTTTATATTTAAATAAAATAAATTACATTTCAGAACTTGAAAGGCTATGACGAACGATCAGACATCTATTCCCTGGGTGTGTTGTGCTGCGAGCTAGCTAATGGGCAGTTCCATTTGCAGAAGTGCCCACTACTCTAATGTTTACGGAGAAAGTGCGTGGTAGTAGACCACAGCTACTTGACTGCGCCTCATTCCCTGAGCCCCTCGATGATGGGGAGATGAAGAGTAAGCCATGTTTTTTATCTATTTCCGCTTTTCTCAGCAGTCTCATCAAAGGCTGCTGTACTGTATAAGCGAAGTTGTGATGAGTTTCTGTTTTACTGAATACTAAATATAGTGCCAGCATAAACTAGCTGTAGCCACTGTCTAAGGGTGTGAAAAATTCTGCATATGTACTACTTTTAGCTAAATTCAGGCCGCAAATAATATATACAGCGTGTCTTTACAATGGCGACAATAAATGAACACACATAAAGAGTACAACTTTTTAACATTGTATTAAAGATTTACATTCTTAAAACATATTTTAACAATATTTACAGAGTTATCAAATTTTCCAAAACAAAGAATTTTAGAACTCCCTTACATATAAAACTATAACGTAAAGTTATATCTAAAGGTCACAAAGCATATGAATGAATGGGTTGAATGAATTTAAAAGAGACAAAACGTACTGTTAGAAGGAGAGGCTTGTAATGCGACGCTGTAGCGCGAGTTGTATAGAATGTTACAAATTTTGTTTCTTTTTCACTTAATTCTTTGTTTGTTTGAAAAATATTTTTTTTAATTAGGGATTTTGTTTGACGTTAATATTTTTTATTTATTTTTTTTATTTTTATTTAACATTTATTAGTATTGGCAAGCAGCGTTAGACGTGTGTTCATTTATTTTCGCGATGGTAATGACACGCTGTATAATCTAGCTGTAAGTTGGATATTGAAAGCAAGTTACATACAAATTATTACATACTTATTTGTACATCTTTATGATCTATAGTTGAAACAAACAGACAATACAACCAAATCCATGACTGTGTACAATACTTTGTATGTTTTATTTTGCATGTGTGTCAATATTTCGTGCATTTTTATGAGGCGAAGGAATGTATTTGAATCTTATCCCGCAGGCATGTACAACACGGACAGCGGTGTCGGCGACAGCGCAGACGGGGTGGCGAGACTGCGCCAAGTGTACGCCGGCAGGAAGCTCTCCGACACCTTCCATCACATCAGCGAGATGGCGCTGCAGAGGTGGGCCTCCGAAGCCCTATCATATTCATATCTATTCATATCTCTCGTATGATTTATGTAGGAGGGGTTCGGTAGTTAATCCCAACGCCCACTATGACCGAGATCTATTGTAGTCTCCCCCATTGCCCCCTTACTGTAGGATAACAACGTGGACAGACACCGAACAATTATCTGCGGTCCGCACAAATAGTTGTGTGTGGGAACCGAACCCACGACCGAAGCCAATACCTTGGCAACTGCGCCACTGAGTCCTCTACCTTTGACCGTTAAAATTACTTAAATAAAGGTATTGACAGTTAATAGTATAGTAGAATGAGTCGCTACAACAAGTTCTAAAATTCTAAAATTTTTTTTAAATTCACAAAGTTACAATAGCATAAGAAATAATTAAAACAATATTGAGGAGTTTCCAAACAATTAATATCAACTTTATCAATGTCAGTCTAGGGTTTATAGAATTTAATATGTGCACCAACATATAAAACAATTGTTACAGTGAAGTGATGAGAATGATAACAGAGCTAGGGCAAACACCAAGTGGCACTTAAAATTTTATCATTTTTAACTAATTATGGTTTCAATTAAGCTTGCTCTTTTGTTACTTCTTTTTACTATTAAGAAAAACCTGATAAAATATTATGTAATTGTTTACCATAAGTTTTCTCAATCTACTACTACATGTGGCTTATACATAGGTTGCACATTTGCAAACTTTACAAATCTTCCTAAAAATTTTCAGGGACCCAGAGCGCAGACCATCTGCTACACAGCTCTTAAATCACATGTTCTTCAAACAGATAAGGAAAACAGACTTCTTGCCCAGCCTCATTGGTCGTGTTAAGCCTATTAAACCAGATCTCAGTAAGACATTAAAATATTCATTCATTGTTCCCAAAAAAACCCTATATTTTCTTCATTCCACCATTTTTTTTATGCCAAAAGTTGTCAAACGAGCAGACGGGTCACCTGATGTTAGTGAATACCGCCGCCCATGGAAATCTGCTACTCCCGAGGGTTATGGGGATGGGTTGACAACCTATTGAAAATTGGGCTCCGGCTACCTCACTCACGTCTACCTCACTTGAGTCGTGATAGCTCAGTGTCCGGGCGCCTCCTTTAATTCAATATACTCGAGCAACCTGAGTTCGATCCCCGGTGCCGGTACCAATGAAGTTTTTAACTTTAAGTGCTGTCTTATCACGTGCTCCGCGGTGAAGGAAAACATCGTGAGGAAATCTGCATATTTTCGAAATAATAACAAAAAAAAATATTTCGAAGATATGTGAAGTCCGCCAATCCGCATTGGGGCCGCGTGGTGGACTATGCCCTGATACCCTCTATATAGAGGAGGCGTTTGCCCAGCAGTGGGACATGTATAGGTTGTTACTTTACTTTACTTTACCTCACTCACCAGACGAAACGCGAAAGTATTTGTCATAGTTCCACTTTACGCTGTTCTTCTGTGAGGTCGTGGTACTTACCCGGACGAGCCTGCCCATTCGTGCATCAGCCGAGGCTGCTGCGTAGCCCTACCACCATTCCATACTGCTACCATTCTGTCAATATACTAATAAAATTTTAAATTATCTATATCCAAGGTTGAATTGCGAGGTTTTACTAATACAATACTTCATCATCATCCTCCTGCCCGTATGGCACTTATTTGTGGTTGGCATAACATGTGCATCATGTTGTAAGATGTTTTGGCTATATTTTTTTACTATCTACCATCTACCTGACGTCAACCCTCCTTGAGAAACGAACACCAAGATTGGGTTCATTGACTTGTCCGGTGTGCGATTCACACCCCCGGAAACAGTGCCACCAAGTCATCACTAATACAATTCTTATAGAAACTAAAACACTTTAACCTGTGGAATGTTAAAATAAGTTTTCGTTTATAATTTTAATATTAATTATTTCTTTATGTTTTTATACTAACTTTTCATATTTTATTTGAAAATCCTTTTCATTGAAATTTATACCAATAAAACTGTTCTCAAGTAAATGAATGATATTTCAGATGACATGTCAGCATTGTTATTACAAGAGAAGTTATCGGAGATGGACATAGAGAAGCAAACAGAGTGGGATTTCTAGTGACAAAGCAATATTTGATTCAAGACAAGTCTGGTTTAGTTAATTATTGAAAATAAATCATAAATTGTTGGTTTACAATTCACTTCCCCTTAAGGTGGTACGATAAAGATTTTATACAATTTTACGAAACCATGTGAAATGTATATATCGGATCGTTTATTTTTCTTTCATCAATGAGAGAATTTTTTAAAGACAGCCTTATACTAAGCCTTAAACCAGAAATTAAGTAGTAAATTAATAGTACAAAATATATAGAATAAAATATATGTTGCTTCATTATTAATAAAGCTATTAATAACTTATATTCTGTCTTCCATTTAAAATGTTAAGCACCCCGTAGAAAGATCCGACCAAAAATAAATGAATTTATTAATACACAACTTGAGTAAAATGCCCCATAGAGCACAAAATATATTTAAAAAAATATAGATAACGGAACTAAATATAAATGGAGTTTTTTTGTTCGGTTATACTGCTAAAACTACTGAACCGATCGGAATAATACTTAACCATAAGATACAGCGTGTTTCGGAGAAGGTTTTAATGGGCATATAACTATATTTATATCATGCCAAATTATCCGCGCTGTCACAATTTTTGCGGGCGAAGTGCTTGTTTATATATAAAGGCCATTGTGGTAGTCGTTCAGCCTAGGTCAATAACTTTTAGCTTTTTCTGGAAGTTATTAAAAATGGTACATGTACATTGTACGTATAAATTTCTCCAAATCTCTGAGATAATTTTGGGACATGCACTTGCTTGTATTCGTGCAAGCTTTGCTAATTGCTCCCAAAAATGCTCTTTTTTAATTTCCATTTATATGTATATCATTAGAATAGAAGGTCCTTGTAGGAAATAATGTTCATAAAAAAGCATAATAAATTTATTTATATTGTTGATATTCCTTTTGTTTTTAATTACTTATCCTAACATTATGCTGCCTACGTAGGTGAGGTTACTTGTTAGGTTAGGTTTGCGCTTGATATTTTTATTCAGTACCGATGATGTCTCTTTTATGTGATAATGTAACGGGTGAGCTGGAGGTTCGCCTGATGTTAAGTGATAACCACCACCCATGGACATTTACAACACAGTTGCCCCCCTTTTAATGCATTGGGCCAAGGCTACCTAACTCATGGGACGAAACGCGAAAGTATAACACTTCGACCAAACCCGGCCTTCTATGAGGTCATGGTACTTATACTGACCTGCCCATTCCTACAATACAACAGCGAAGGTTGGCATGAACCTAATACACGTTCACTGAGTGGTAAAAATTTCTCGTTATTTCTCATTCGTTTCTTTTCTTTTCGAACAAGGCAACATATCGGTCAGTTAATGATCGCACAGTAGCATGGTCGATCACGACTTATCACTGGATGTGTATGTTTCCGACGATACAGTAAAAGATATAGTATGTATGATGATATTAAAAAAAATTTCTAAATTTATTCAAAGTGAAAGAGTCTTTTACCAACAGTAAAGTTTAGTTAATCGCATCTTTACATTATCGTGTTTAATTAGAGAATTTTTAATCTGTGAATTAAAAATCCCGGCATGTAACAAAACTGTTTTAATAGGAACAAAGGTATGTTGTGACATTGTGTTTAACAGTGACGTTTAATGTGTTAAAATAGAACATGTTAAATGCGTATCTACTTTTTTTTAATAGTATTAATTTATCACACTATTCAGTATGTATAGGAACCAATGATGTTTAATAAAATAGATGATGCATGTCCATACCGTGCGACGTACAAAAACCGCCTTTGCTAATGCAAATGGGACAGATGATATAGAACGTATGATACGGAAAGAAATAGCAGTCTATAGAATTACACCAATTGGCGTAATTTGAGCGCCTCGGTTGCGGTGCCTTAGTGTTATATCTTCCTCGTACTTCTATATAATGTCAGTGTATAGAAACTATTCGAATAACCCGAGCAGTAAAGTTCGAAATGGCTTACTATTACTCAGAGTAGTGATAATGAGTCGATTGCATTATTAAACTTTACAAACTTCTGCAATAAAGTCGAGAACAGCTTGCAACCAGATGGCAGCGGCGCGCGCTCCCGCGTCTTCGTCGTGAACGTAGCCGCTCGCCACGTAAGAGGCACGCCCAGCCCTGGGTTATACAGAATATAACTGTTTGACGCCATCAATATGTTCTCCAGTCGATTTAAGCACACAGCTTTTACATCAAAGCCTAGAAAGTAATGTATAATATAGTAACTTTGTAATGCTATGAAATGACAGTGCACTGTTTCTTACTTGGCCGTCATGGCGGCGGTTGCTCTGCATCCAGCTTCGGCGGAGGAAGAAGTCTTCCTCATCAGGTCGCCTAAATCCTGGTTAAGATTCGACCGGAAGGTCGCGGCGGCCGTGTGCAGCGTGTCCAGCTGACGAAACAGAAATTCAATGAACTTTACTGCACTTGTGGCAAGTAGCAACTAGCAAAATGATTTTAAAACAAAGGTGATACGTCGCCATTAATGTGTAAAAGCGACATAATTGCGTACTACAGACATTAATGCGTAAAAGAGATGGGTAATTAACGAAGACAAAGAGCCCTAAATTATAATTTACACAGTCTATAAGGTTTGATAAGTACAGGATAAACTCAAAACTGACACGCGGGGGAGTGGAGAAAAATGACGGATTTTCTTCATCTTATATAACACTGACACGAATTAAGATATTGCGGTGATTTGGCGGCGGTAACCGTATTGTGTTGAGAATTGTTGGGTCCCACGAATTGTGGATTCGGTCACGGGACACGTAATTCGTACGTTCTATAGATAATTGTTTTAGATTTGTGTTCCGTGTGCAATTTAAACAATTTTAGATGACTTGGGCGCCAGGGGTCGTCGGTTAGATTCCCACACGGACATAAATTTGTGTGACCCACATAGTTGTTCTATATTCCGTTTGTTCGAAAGAAAAGTTGACGCAGGCAGGTGGACGGTGGACACATAGTCGGGATAAGGAACAAATGATGATGATGTGTGAGCTTATTTAAATTAATACCATCGTCCTGTCCCCGGCCTCCGCCCCTCCATATTTAGTGATGGCCTGCATACCCCTCTCCCAGGCGGACAACCAGGCTGAAGGTTCGTTAGTTGTTGCACTGTCGAAAGTAACAATTTGTTATATTCTTACCGAGCTTCCTTGTGTTATATATTAAACGATTATGAGAAGGCACTGAAGTTTAAAATTAAATCATGGCGTGTAGTTTTAGATTCAACTTTCGGGAGTTTTGGACGCTTTTCAGCATTGGTGGTCGCGCTACAACTGGAGTTTGATGTTTTGATGTCATTGTCAATCAGTGTTACAGTGTTTTTTAAATCCTTTATGATTACAGACGTTTTCGTCCGTAGACTATAAGACTTCATCGTAACGGAAACTACATTTTTAGTAACAAACAACAAAACCATTTTTTTATGCGAGAAGGTGGCAAGTGAGCTGGCGGTTCACCTGATATTGAATGATAACCGCCACCCGAGGACATTTGAAACACCCGTAGGGTTTAAGATGCCTTGCCCTCTAATAAAGTGGGCACCGGCGATAGCCGGTGACAACACTCACCAGACGAAACTAGACAGAAGTATAATAAAACTTCCACTTCACGCCGGTCCTCCGTGAGGTCGTGGTACTGCCCCAGACGGAAATGTCCATTCGTGCAACAGTGAAAACCATTTTCACCAACAATTTTCAAAATCGGTTCATAAATGATGGAGTACTGAGCTGAATTGAGAACATCCTCTTTTTTTTAAGTCGGTTGAAAACTAAGCGACTATAGTCAGTTCTGCTAAGATTAGTCAGAATGATTAATCTTAGCAGTCGTATAGTGTTTTATGTAAATTTAGGGATGTAAATTTAGCCAGCACATGACCCGACAATTAGCGCCTATGACAACAAAGTTTGTGAAAAATTGTGAATATAGACTAAGTCTTATAAATAGATTCTTAATAATTTCAAAATAGACTCTTATTAAATATTACACTAGACTAGTAAGTACCTGGCAAGTGCCTGTGAAGCGGCTGACAATCCAAGACTGTAGATCCCACCAGATGTCCCGCCCATGTCAGTCTCAGCTATCTCTGATAGCTGCCACAATACATTGGAGGGGTACTCCAGGGACGCCGTCTCCAAGTATGATAGTATAGCTGGAGCACAGATAATTTTATCATGTCTACATTGAAGTTATACTTCTTTTGGCGTGTTTTGGAAAAATAATGATAGTACAGCTGGAGCACAGATAATTTTATCATCGCCATCTCCGCAACCTGAATCCAGTTTGTTTAGAAGATCCTCGCTTCGCACCAGCTGGTTGGCAGCGGCAGTAAGGCAGCCGCGAAGGATATCCTGTTGCTCGATTGTCAGAGATGGTCCCGACGTAAGCTGGAAGGAAACGAGCACCCAAAGTATTACCCAGCTCAAGCACATTGAAATAAAAGAAATATGGACAAAAAGATGTAAGAGAGTGAAATTTATCACTACTACTTAATGTTGCGGCTGGCTGCTCGCACCCCACTCTAATAACTTGTTGTTTCTCATATCGGTAATTATTACAATAAATTTTTCTTTATTGAATCGGTGTCTATCCAATTATTTTACAACCTCAAAAGAACAGTCCAAACAAGCCAATTACTTCGAATAGCAAGTCCCATAAATATCCGAACGATTTATCTTTTCTTGTGTGGTGTTATGTGCATGTGCCCAAAGGGGTAAGAAAAGAGACTCTTAAGAACATCTTATTTTTAACTGACTTCATATAAGTTGTCATTGAATGAAATATCAAATTTAGTCTCTGCGTCCGGGCGTTCGAATCTGTTGCCCTACACTGACTCGTACTATATACGAACAAACAAACAAGCACACACGAATATAATCTAAAGGGTAGACAAAAAGCGATACATGTCACCAATTTTATTTATTGTAAAAAGTGAAATAAATATCAAATGCCTAGTAATTTTATTACTTACAAATTAGGGAAAACGTAAATGTACATTAATGCTCGCATATGGAATCAAACGAGCCATTAATATCAAAACCCTTGGTACATTTATGTGCAAAAAATCCAACCTTAATACCAGCGCATGTGCTTAAAATTTTATTCAACTCATTATGACCGTATGAGGAATCTATGTGTCTAACAATTTGTGTTTACTATATCCAGGCCTATAACTCTTACCTGTATTTCGCTTTTGCTTTAATACTATAACACTAACCTTCAGTCCATCAGTCTGAAGCAAGGTCTCGTCATCCCCATGGACGTCTTCGCCCCTCTTCGAGGCCTCACCGCCCGTCCATCCCAAAGCGCCGGTGGGCGCGTCCAGCAACTCCAGCCACATGTCACCGTGAGTCTTGTTCAAATGTAGCACGCAAATTTGGAAGGCGTGCATCTCGAGGGATGTCTTCAAATGACCCGCGAAAACCCGCTCCACTCGTATCCCTCTGGATTCTGGAAAAATATATTTCCCATGCAATATTTATTATAGTTTTAATATACGTTTTTACATTCCCTCGCATATAAATATGCATGACAGGTCAAATTAAGATGCTGCCTGTAGTCAAGGTGAAATTCAAATAGATCCAATCTGGCGTCTTTTGGACAACTTTCCCAGATGGTTTAGCCCGCAGAGCTATCGATTGAAATGACAAGGATTTTGGCGCGTAAAATCTCGACAATTATCTATTTTATTTTACATTTTTATTTCTTTATTTAAGCTTTATTGCTACACCTTAAGCAATGGGTTACATGCGGACCTAATGCCTAATAGCATTTTCTCCCAGTCAACCCTTGTCATGACGATCAGCAACCTTAGAGCAACAACCTTCTTTATCAGGTTTAAGAGAGGAGTTTCCCGAATTGAGTTTCACGTAAAGACTACTTAGAAGAACTACTTAGAGTTCACGTCATTAACAATCTCTTTTATGATAAAAAAGGAGAGTGGCTTGGAACTGCCAAGTGCCGCTTACCGAAGTAGTCCTTAGCTTCGGCGCTGACGATGTTCATCTCCAGGTATGAAGTGCCGCCCAGATTGTCGACTGTCACCGCCACCCTATCGCCAGCTTTCAATTTCAGGTGATCCAGTATCTATAACAGAAACATCTCCGGTTATGTGTATAATTGGGTAATGAGAATTTGGTAATAAACATGTAGTACAGTATTAAAATTAAAAAAATAATAAAAACGAGCTAGATCCCTGAATAATTTTACGTTTATGTGTTTAATTTTAGACATAATAGATATAACTATAAACTTCATGAATTTTTACACGAAAGACAACATGTCAAACGTAATATGTAAATGGTCACCGACCGTTGTGTGTGTAAATGTTGTTAAATTTTGTCTTCTCTCTTAACTTATCGTATCGAAGATAGTCATTATTTAGAAGTGATCAGTCTTCGACAAAGTTTACAAATGCTATATTTACTTATATATCGTATCGAATGAAGCCTATTTATCTAGTCTCGGAAACTTTCTTAAAGTTGACTTTCTATGAAGCGTTAATAAGTGACAGCATTATATTCTTTATTGAAATCGTGATGGGATTCATCTTTTGCTTCCTATTTCACACATAATTTATGCGGGCTTAGTTAGAAAGACAAGGGAATACGCATTTACAGTAAAAAAAATTAAGACTAACGGAATAAGCCTGCTTAAGACGTTCAAGTTTCTTTTTTCAATGTGAGTAGAAGTTGCATTAAGAAGCATGAAGAATATTTACAGCGACATACTTGATCGAGTATGATCTTCACGACCTCCTTGGCAGTGCCCAGTTTCATCTTTTTAATGCCGGCCTCTCCGTGCACCCCTGCCCCTAGCTCCATCTCATCGTCGGCGATCTCAAATAAAGCAGGCTGGCCTAAATAAAAATACATATTACAGATATCTGTTGTGGGCTGGTCAATCTATATATATATATATATATATATATATATATATATATATATATATATATTTCGTGTCACGATGTATGTTTGCGATAAACTCCGAAACTACTGAACCAACTTTTATCAAACTTTGTAAGCATTTGTAATTTGGTCCAACTTGGTTGATAGGGTAGTTTTTATCTCATTTATTGATCTCAATTAATTTGTTAATGATTATAGATTAATGATTAATTTGTTACTGCAAATTATTTGTTTATTAGATGACAAAGAGCTATCTGTAAGTCCCATAAGATTCTAACAGATGGCGGTGTAAGATAAATTTATCAGCTGGATTGAGTCAGTATGCGATAGATGGCACTATGCTAAAATTAGAAACGTATAAACCCGGTAGAATACGCGCAGGCGAAGTTACGCGGGCCAGCTGGTACAAATATAAACTTCTGGTGCTGCCTGTGCATCTTCGCATAAGCTTCATATGCCACATTTTTCAAAAGATATGTAGAACCTTCTTTAATATTCTTACGCATACATGTTTACTCTTCTATTCCTATTTCTTAACTTTAAGCCTGTCGTAGTCGTGTTAGTTATATTAACAAGGTGTTTTAGATATCCACGGGCCTCATTATTCACTTAAAATAAGAGAACCACTTGCTAGTTTGCCATATTAAGACAGAAAATAGTAGTAGTAGGTCGACAGAAGACCGGCGTGAAGAGGAATTGTTATACTTTTGCGTTTCGTCTGGAGAACTCTATTGACGGAAGAATAATGATGGTTACTTAAGTAAGCGAGGCCCAATTCTTTTGGAGACGGTAACGCATCTACCACGACAAAAGAGTTGTAACTTCACCTGCTTATTACAATTTTGTTAAGAGGAAAAAACATAGAACTTGAACTAAATGACAATTATGACATTTATGCATTTGAGGAGAGATGGAGCTTATTACTTAATGTCTCGAGAGAATGAACGTATTGTCTCCAGCAGATGACTGTTTCTGGAGCACAATGATGGACAGAAGTGCTGCATTATTAGTCCCCACTCACCTGGCAAGGAGCACGCGCTCAAACACACCCCCAGTGTCGCCATGTACTTGTTGGCTTCAGCTGCATTGCTTTTAATTGTAGCCAGATCGTAGCCCTTCAGCGCCATCGCCCCGCAAAGCTGTGCAAAAACCATCCACACATTGACAACGGATGGGTAAATTCATCCGAATATGAAAAAAGTTACAAATTGCCATTTAACGTGTCATTATAGTGTGTGACCCACAGATGTTGTTTCGCATCTCCACGTGAGATGTTCGTTTGTAAAACGTCCTTACAACACAGGATAATGTTATCCTAAAGTAAGGGCAATGTCTTCAAAAAAAATCCAATCAAAATCAATATATATCCTCACGTCCGGTGAAGTACCACGGTTCTGCGTACCAGTTTCGGTTTTTTTATGTGAGAAAGCGTCAAACGATCTGGCGGTTCATGGCGGTAAGTGATAACTGCCGCCGATGGACATTTGCAACACCCGTAGGGTTGCAGATGCGTGACCAACTTTTAATAATGTGCGCCCCGGCTACCGGCGGCAATTCCACTTCACACCGACCTTCTGTAAGGTCGTGGTGCTTACCCGGACGCACCTGCCTATTCGTGCAACAGCGAAGGATGTTGTGTGTCCCTACCACAGTAATGCTAGTTCACGGCATTCACATAGTTCACCACATACATACCACATGCATACCACATGCATACCACAGTAATGCTAGTTCACGGCATTCATAGTTCACGGCACTACCTTGGTTGCTAAATCAATACAAAGGAGCAAACGTGTCAATCAAATTTTTTGTACCACGGCTGTATTAAACTATGGCAAACAAATCGACAGCGCGAACATAAGGCACAAGCCAAGTGTAGCGTTATTTGTGTAAATATCATATATTATAAATAGCTGACCCGGCAAACGTTTTGCCATATAAATTATTTGTAGGGTAGAAAAAAATGTTTGGGGTGGACCACCCTTAACATTTAGGGGGATGAAAAATTGTTACACAGATGTTGTCCGATTCTCCACCCTGGTCGATATGCACACAAAATTTCACGTAAATCGGTCGAGCCGTTTCGGAGTAGTTCAATTACAAACACCGTGACACGAGAATTTTATATATTAGATTATAGAATGGTTTATCTCAAAGCAGTCTCACGGCAATAGCTTATATTTTGTTGCTTTTCTCAAGTACCGTAAGGTGTTTTACGTTACCTTGTAAAATATAACCTCTCCAACCATGCTCCTACCTCCGGTCTTGTTATGACTGGACGCCACGTCCTCGCCTACTATTAGACCTTCCACCTGCAATGGTCAAAGCAAGTAAATAGTAAAAAAAAAGAACACCATACCCAAAGCCGTCTTAGGCCATATCGGGGCCCTAGGGTAAACTTTGGGGCCCTGATAGAAAGAAAAAAAAGTGGATGACAAAAAAATTGCTGCTACTATCTTATGTTTTCTATTTATCCTATAAACTTCTGTCGGAATATATCTACCAAAAATAGAGAAAAATTTCTATAGTTTAAGCGAATACCGTGAGACAGGGGCCCGTGTGCCCTTATGTCAAAGACGGTACTGACCATGCCCAGAAGACGCAGGATTGAATCCTGAGGGCGCGGAAAGATTCTCGACAGTAATTTATCTTAAAGTTAAAATTTGTAGAAAAAAGAACAATAATTTATCTCCTAAACTCGACATTTAAATTTAACCCTAAACTGTAGCTAGATTTCCTTGCGGTTTTAGTTATGGTAAAACGGAGAAGTTTTTGTCGATGTGACAAAAACTGCTTTTACTGTGCGTTTATCATCTGTAATAACGTCATCTGCTACAAATCAGAATGCTAACAAGTATATGACACAAGTTGCACGTTAAATATTCATCATCCTATAATGTAAGAAAATTTTAACTTGACGTACAATTTTAAAACCAAACCTCATTTGTTATGAAAGAGTTCATCAAATATTTCTCATCTTAGCGTAGCCATTAAACTTCTCCTATTTCGTAGTTTTTGTCAACAAGTCGACAGATACCTACCATGATATTATGTCTGAAAGCATTCGATACACTATATGTTATAGGCATAAATTCTCTGATACTTCTGCGTTTACATATTTGAAAAATAGAAAAAGCAAATAAATCAGAAGTAGCAACAAATAAAAGAGGGTAACCAAAAGCATGGTAATACGTAAGATCTATCTTTAATTGTTTTAAGAGTACTCGTGAATGTGCGTAAGGAGTCACTCTGAATTTTAAGAGTTTAAGAAATGTATGTATGCTCTTTTGTCATGTACTCCATACTCAAACCGGTTAATCTACCTTGATGCCGGCAATTTTAGCTTTTTCGATGGCCTTCCCAAAGTTGAGCCGGTCACCAGTGTAGTTTCCGATGATAACTAGCACTCCACCTGAAATTATAGGGAGCGTAACTGGCCTTGACTTTTATAGCTGCCATTTTAGAGTAGAAAAGTGTATACTTATTGGCATAGTTTTCTACTCAAACTCTTTCGTCCTTCATTGTTTATAGGTTTATTTACATTAATAAATATTAAAAATATTAATATTTTGGACACATTTTTACACAGTTTTAGTCCCAAACTAAGCAATGCTTGTACAATGGGTACTAGAGAACTGATAAACTTACTTTCACATACTTTTCTTTTGTAAATAAATACATATTATACATATACAAACCTCTGGGCTCCGGAAAAACGCTATGTTCATCACACAATATTTTTCCAGCAGTGGGGATCGAACCCGCACCCTCTGGCGCAAGAAGCGGGTTCACTACTCCCCACGCCAATCGTCAAATTCGTTTATTATTGCAATATAATTTTTCTTACACTATCCCATGCAAAATGGTCTCATGTTGCCGCAAAGTAGTCAGGGAACTAGGTTAATTCTTCCCAAGTGCGTGCTCTCGCGAAGTGTAAAATGGCCAAAAAACAAAGCCAATTTCGAATGAATATTGGTGGTAGGGCCACGTAGCAGCCTCAGCTGTTGCACGAATGGGCAGGCCCGTCCGGGTAAGTACCACGACCTCACAGAAGACCCGCGTGCAATGGAAGTATGACAAATACTTCAGCGTTTCGTCTGGTGAGTGAGGTAGCCGGAGCCCAATTTTCAAAAGGTTGTCAACGCATCTGCAAACCCTCGGGTGTAGCAGATGTCCATGGGCGGCGGTATTCACTTAACATCAAGTGAACCGCCTGCTTGTTTGGCAACTATTCGCATAAAAAAAAATGAACAAGGCGCTCTTCGCAACGTACTGAAGTCTGTCGCCGAGATAGTTTTAGAGGTTCTAGAGGTAGGATAGTTTTAGAGGCTCCACATAAAACTATTCTCCCACATACCACAAAGCATTTAAAGATTACCCCTCAATATAAAATAAAAACCAGCGTACTAACCCGAATTATATTTGTACAGCTGTGCAATCCCGTACAGCACGTGGCCAGTTGGAGGGGATGCAAAAATCCCCCCCGCCACCGCCCCGTCAATCATTCCACGACCCACCAGACCTGCGGCGTTAACCGAGAAATTTCAGCAGTTGCGAAGTTATACTTCTTTCGGCGCGTTCGGTTTTTCACAAACAAGGAGTACTGATACAGAGGATATTTTTTTGGTTATTTCTCTTTCTTTACGCTTAAGGAGTATAACTTCTAACGTTCATACATAAGTACACACAATTTTTTTTTTTTTTTTTACTTCGAAGTAACCGTGGTAACAAAAAGAGGCCCATATTGTACTTTGACCACGTTAATTTTTAACCGCGACCCTAATTGGCCTTTTAAACTCATAGTTTCTACATTTTTTAAAGACGTTATAAATATTAAAAATAACTACTCTTTCTTTCTCTATTTCTAATATGTTTAACAGCACAAGCTGTTTCGTGGCCCTACCGTCTCTCACCTACACGAATGGGTAGGAGCGTCAGGGGAAGTACCGCGGCCTCACAGAACACCGGCGTGAAGTGGAAGTGGACACTTTCGCGTTTTGTCATACGAGTGAGGTAGCCGGGGCCCACTTTTTTAAACATTGTCGATATATCTGCAAGCCCTCTAGTGTAGCAGATATCTATGGGCGGCGGTATTCACTTAACATCAGGTGAGCCGCCAGCTAGCTTGTCAAATTTTCACATAAAAAAATGTCTGTACAGACAGAATATTTCTGGAGGAGGAAACTAATTTCTATATTTGAAATAAGTTGTAAAGCTAAATCGAAACTACTCGTAGCTTACCACCGGCGAATGGTTCGTGTCCAGAGCCGCCACCGCCAAGGATTGCCACTCTGCCGGAATCGGTCTAGAAAAGTAAAGAAGCTCTTGAATTTAGAATCCACTTTGGGAAAATATTATCTAGAAGCTTCTAAAGGTTTCGAGGTTTTTATAAAACCCTCTGTATCTTTGAAATGATCCAATGACGGTGGGGTATTAAAATATATTTGGAGCGAAATCATTGTTATTTGCTCTTTGAGATTTTCTGTTTTCCACTTTCTTGCACCATGTCTCACTGTTTTTAACCGCTGTATTGTGATAAACCTATCACGTCTTATTTAGGCAAAAATATCCTTTAGCTTTCAATTTTTTTTTTAAAATATACGACTTCATAATGAAATTTTACTTAAAATATGTAAAAATTCAATTGACGAACTTTTAAAGACGATTTGTTATTTGCATTGTACTCCATATACAAATGTATTCATAGCCATGACATACAAAACAAAAATAAAATTTTAAAGATGCATCATTAGATTGAAAGAAATGTGGTAGTACCACGCAACAGCTTCGGCTGTTGCACGGATGGGCAGCCCCGTCCGGACCATGGCCTTACGGAAGACCGACGTAAAGTGGCAGTGTCATAGCTTCTGCGTTTCGTCTGGTATATGAGGTAGCCAGGGCTGACTTTATTAAATGATGGCAACGCATGTGCGGGTTGTACATGCGTTGCCATCATTTAATAAAGTATCATCATCAGGCGTTCCATGGGCGTCGCTAATCACTTAACAACAGCTGGCTTGCCACCTTATCACATAAAATAAGAATTTTACCTATTTAACTATTTTGCTATTAACCACGGTTACTAACACACGGTGATAGGGCCGCGTAGCAGCCTCGGCTGTTGCACGAATGGGCAGGCTTGTCCGGGTAAGTACCACGACCTCACAGAAGACCGGCGTGAAAGAAGAAGGGTAAAGTGGAAGTACAATATTTTCGCGCTTCATCTGGCGAGTGAGTTGGCCGGAGCCCAATTTTCGAAAAGGTTGTCAACGCATCTGTAACCTCGGGTGTAGCAGATGTCCATGGGCGGCGGTCCTTGGCACTTAACACCAGGTGAACCGTCTGCTCGCTTGGAAACTATTCACATAAAAAAGCTAACTAATATTTTCATGTTTGTCAATCTTGGTCTGGTCTACCTTAGCCCTCAAAGTGATCACTCGGTGTTTCGGGTGCAAACGCAAAGCGGGATACACGGCGACAACGCCGCGCAAGTTGTCGTCCACACACGTTTCCGGTGAGTTTATCACCTTCTTCGTTGCACTTCTAGCAGCCATGGTTACGGTTGTCCTGAAATTATTGAAAATGTTCTGAAAACTATTGGTATCAAAACGGAACCCGTAAACCATTATACACAATATAAGCGGTGACAAATGTAAAAAAAACATTGAAATAAAGTTTTATGTCTTATCTATGTTCAATGTATTTGTAAACAAAGATAAGTTTACTCGTCCATTATGTATTATACTCATGTTTTATATAAGTAATCTGTTGACACATTCGAACATTGAAATGAAAATGAAAAAAGATATAATTTTATTAACTCTACAGAAATGTTACGCTAAAAACATGATGACTAAGTAAAGCTATGAAAGACTAATGTAGAGGTATAACGTAACTGGCAACGCTTGATTTATTATTTAACGTTGCAATAATTTAGTGAATAATAATAAGGCATGATTTATATAACTTTTTAATTTATATAACTTTTCTTATAGTTTCAATATAAAAAGTCTTAAAATATTGTTATTTACATGATATTTTTAAGAGTGCGTAATTGTTATCGATATTAAACAACATATTAAAAACAATTTCAATAAAAAACATTACAAACATCAATTAAATAGTTGCGATTTAAAGTAAATATATTAAGGATTATCAATGAGGTAAAACTAAGATTTTTATAAATGAAACTATTTTATTTATGGATTTTTCGCGTTTATTTTTAATTTTTATTCCCGACGTTTCGAACCCTTTACAACGTTCATGGTCACGTTCATGGACTACCGTCACTTTTTTAATAATTAATTTTATGTCCGATCTATGCAGACGCACTTTCGATAGAAAAATAAACACAATAAATTTAAAGAAAAAAATTATTTCATTAATATAAATACAACAAAATAAGATTTTTATTCAATATACCTACGTACCTTAAACTTTGTGTATTATTAATGTAACAGCGTCACAGATAAAACAAACTCGCCCGCGTGACGGCCCGAGAATGGCGGGTCTAAAGAAAGATAAATTAATTCCAAGCGCTAATCTTATCAACTAACGCGGTAGATTGTTCAAACTTTAACAAGTATAAAGTTTATGACCTTTGAATAACAAATATCTTTTATTATACGAAATTAGAATTAACTTTACTTTTCACAAATTTAACTAAAATTATAGTTTCAAACCATCATTTTAATTCCTGATCGGAAGGATCCGATAATAGTTTGAACGTAATCTCGTAGTATTGCTCTCGTCCTGTAAACTTTTTCTATTTACCTGTATCCTTTGTAAAACAAATCTATGTTAAGATCATAAATAAGAATCATTAGCCATCATAACAATAATTCCCGCATAACATTCAAGGTTGTAACAATAATTCCCGCAGAGAAATTTGAAATAAAATTACAAATTAGCAATTGTACGAAATTATGTTTATTTTCATTTATATCATTTTAATTCCTGATCGGAAGGAAGGAGGAACGTAATCTCGTAGTTCCTCATTTTGTATCCTTTGTAAAGAGAAATTTGAAATTAACATTCAAGGTTGTAATTATGTTATATATAATAGGAAGGAGGCGGTTCCTCATTTTGACAGAGAAAAAATACCATTCTCAGAAGTAGATACTGTATCATGGACTAGACTGATAAATGTTTTTGCTTGTTTTTAAAGAAATCCCAACATCCTGATACTGCGTGGTTAAAAGTTTTAAAATGTTATCCTGTTGCAACGCATAACTACTTATATAATAAAATATTCCTCTTTTATGAAACATAGCATTGACTTCTAAGATACGTTATACCATGTTGTGAAGATAATTGGAAAATGAATTGTTCAATCGCTTCGACATATGGCACAAAAAGAAACTGACGAAGAAAATTTGTTTTTTTTTTTTACGGAACGGAATCTCATATCCAAACATCTATGCAAAAACTGACGTCATGTATTATGATTCTTGACGAAGCGAAGCAAAACACCGTAGACTTCACATAATCATGGTGATAAGATTTTAATACCAGCCCCCTCTTTTGGTAGCCATGTATTAACATTGCCTATAATAAACGGGAACAAAATATCCGTCCAACATTTAAGTACTTACATTGATACGTCTGTAATTTCCATCAAACTAAGAAACAAACATATTTTCTATGAACCGACCGTCAATGACTTAATATATCATGAAACATCGATCAAAATTTCACTTGATGTAATTTCATAAAATGCAAAGCTGCAAATGACACGACAAGACTATTGGAAGCGTACTCTGCAGAAGGCTAAAATAGTATAAAGTGTCTGAAGCACATGCAAAACGCAAAAGGCAAAAGGCGCAGTAATGTAAGCACCGTCGTTCAAAACCGAACTCTAGCATTGAAGGGACAGCGCTTAATTCTAAAAAGCCGTTTTGCTGATGACTCTAACTATTGTTAAGAAACATTTTAAGGATGTACTAGTGAGGCGATCCGTATAATGATCCGATATTAGCTGAAGGCACTTTTGAATTGACAGTTATCGATATTATCAACAATAATGATTGGTTACTTTACATTACGGTGACGATGTAACTTATGGTATTGAACTGAGTAGATCGGGCTAATAGACTCGCATGAAGTCTTCGGTCTACAAAGTACCCCTGCCCAGATACTTAGCATTTTTACCAGATGGAAAGACAATGACCAGTCTCAACCAGATCGTCTTTGATGCTTATCATTGGTTAAATCCAACATAAATCGACTCTACGAGTGAGTTTTACTAGCAGTTTTTTTTTGCGAGTCGGATTGACTTTGCAATTATATAGCTACAACACTAGCGGATAAATAACTCAACCGTCTCAACCACAACAGTCTATTTGCGTTCGGCTCAGTACTTACTCGATCTTCGACGACGCTCACCTTGGAAAAGTTGAATTACATTAAATACACTCGTGAAGCTCATAATTTTGTATCGTAAACATTGCACTATTTTTAAATCGTAATGGGCTTGCACTCTGCAAGCTTGTTTGTAATTATTGTTATATACATAGTTGATTTTATATTCATATCTCAGGGCGATTTAAATTTTGCAAAATCACAGATCAAAAAATTAGGGGATTATGAAAAAAAGAAGCAAGGAAAACCAAAGCATCGAAGAGCGTAAAATTCTCAGTTTTGGAGGGAATTAATATAATTTATGTAAACTTATCATTCAACAGTCGAGTAGTCAATAATTGTATTCTAGTTCTCTTTTCATTTAAAAGTTTAGTGTCTTCTGAATCTAAACAACTAAAATTTTCAGCCAATATAATATCACTTAGCTCGACATTTAGAAACTTCTGCCCCACTTATTCATCATCTTTTTCACACAATTCCTTGCACGCTTTCCTCAGATCAGTTAACAATATAAACGATCTTCTTATTGAAAGATCTTTTGCAATGTCCCTTACTATTTTAAATTAATAAACAGCGATGCTATTGTTACTATTGATCTGTCCTTCGCAAATCCATGCTCAGTCAACGTCTGTTAATGCAATACATTATATCTGTATGTATAAGTCTGCGTGCTATTTAAAAACATTGCCCTATTTTATTTTAGGATATCATCATTCTGTGTTGTAAGGACGTTTTGCAAACATAAATGGCACGAGGACGAACACCCAGATGCGAAACAACTATCTGTTGGTCGCACAATTATTTGTCCTGTGTGGGAATCGAACCCACGACCCCCTTGGCGACTGTGCCACGGAGTCATCATATGTTATACATATAAACCTTCCTATTGAATCACTATCTAGTATGAAAACCGCATCACGATCCGTTGCGTAGTTTTAAAAATCTAAGCATACATAGGAACAGACAGATAGCGGGATGACTACGTTTTATATGTAGTGATGACCGGTTTTATCTATCTCCAAATTAATCAGATACCTAAAGGTTTGGACAAATGTATAAAAAAGAATTATATGAAATTAAAATGAAAATTCAACCTAACACCAAAAAAATCAATCATTTATGCATAAAAGGTAGCTAGTTTAATGGTGGTAGGGCCACGCAGCAGCCTCGGCTGTTGCACGAAAGGGCAGGTTCGTCCGGGTCAGTACCACGACCTCATAGAAGACCGGCGTCAAGTGGAAGTATAATACAGTGAATGAGGTAGCCGGAGCCCAATTTTCAAAAAGTTGTCAACGCATCTGCAACCTTCGGGTGAGCAGATGTCCATGGGTAGCGGTATTCACTTAACATCAGTTGAACCGCCTGCTCGCTTGGCTACTTTCCACATCATCATTTTCGTAATTAAAACTTCACTAGGGCAAAAAGTATGAATATGCCAATATACATTTGTCCCACTGCCGGGCCTCCTATTATTCAGATTGGCGTTGTAGCAAAAGTCATAGATGTAATTCACATCAGAGTACCGCAAGGAGGCGAGTTGGGTCATAACAATAAACGCTTTAGCGCATTCAGAATACTTTATTAGAATCTATACAGGTGCATTAGCGACACCAGAAGCGGTACATCATGCTAAAACTTGGAAGGTGTCGCTGACTCCAGTAAATTGGACGACGAAGCCAATGATTCTACGCGAAGCGCCCCGGTACACCAGGCGGTGAGGTCCAGGGATCACTGCACTCGGTACCTGCCACTCAACACGCGCCTTACTGGTTCCGAACAAGGCCGACACTCTCTCCCAATGGAATCTGAAACGACGTTTTCGTTTTATCAGGTGAATTTTTTGCCCAATTGTTTTTTTTATTTGATTTGACATTCTTTATTCTATATAAAGTACAATATTATGTAGTAAGATGTCTGTAACATATACAGCGTGTAGTTACAAACGCGACAATAAATGAACCCACATATAGAGGATAACTTTTTAAAATTGTATTAAACATTTTCATGCTGTAAACATCAATATTTACCAAGTTATTAAATGTTCCAAAACAAAAACTTTTAGAACACCCTTACGTATAAAACGGTAACGTAAAGTTCATTTGTAAAGGTCACAAAGCATACGAATGGGTTGAATGAATTTGAAAGAGATAAAACATACTGTTAGAAGGAGAGATTTGTAGTGCGACGCTGCGGCAACGAATGAAAAAGTGTTACAAATTTTGTTTCTTTTTTATTTAATTAGTTTGTTTGAAATATATATTTTCTAATTATGGATTTTAACGTTTTATATAATTTTAACGTTTTTATAATTATTGGCTAGTAGCGTCAGACGTGTGTTAATTTATTGTCGCGGTTGTAACGACACGCTGTATATATTTTCGGACACATTTTTACACGACTTTCTCTAGTCCCAAACTAAGCTTATAAACATACTTTTCTTTTTGTAAATAAATACATATTATACAATTATACATATACAAACCCCCAGACACTGGACAAACACTACGTTCATCACACAATATTATTCCTATAGTGGGGATCGAACCCGCTCTGGGTTCTCTGGCGCAAGAGGCAGGTTCAGTGCTCCACGCCAATATGAAAGTGGGGCTACACTTACTTGGTCTCCCAATCGGCATCAGTTGCTACAACCACCCACGTGTTCCTCTCGTACCTTTCCACCACCATGTGGGAGGACTCTTGGCGTAGATCGTTCCGGGGGTTGGCGGCAACCTGACAGACAACGTTTTCGGTGATGCATTCAAATGTTTATAGAAAATTACCAGAAACTACACTTTCATCGAAATAGAAACAAATAGTGAAAACTTAAATAACAGTCAACGTCTATTTCTTAATAAAATTAAATTTGCTAGCACAGTGTTTGGAGAACAAGTGAATATTGCGTTAAACCTTTAGTCTTAGGGTCGTAAAAATCATCGTGGTGTAAATAATATAGCATATTGTACAGCCAATCTGTATTTTCTTTTATATGAATATTAGCTTACACGAGTAAGAGAAAGTCAAAAGTTTAACTGAACCGCCAATATTGAACCAAAATCTAATACCAGGGAACTAGACGAAAAACCCAAAGAATCTTTGCTGAAATTAACTCATTTCGTCTTATACAAATTCGTATAGACATTGCGGTGTGAATATGGAGCAGCCAGATTCGCACGCGTACTAGAATTAATAAAATCAACACGAAGAACTCACGAAAGTGGCGCTGACTAGGTCTCCTGGTCTGACAACTGGAGGTGGCTGCTGCAACACATCGCCAAAGGGCCGGCCGATGGGAGTTGCGTCCAGGACCACTCGAGGCACCAGTGAGACGGTCCTCTCACGGTGGTCTTCGGGCTCGGGACCTGGTTCCACATCTCCGCCCTGCAGGGTTGTCAAAAATGTTACTGAAAAGAACGTATAAGTTTTAATAAGTGGGAAAAGCTTTCTTCTACTGTACTTTAAAGCCCACGGAACAGAAGCAGAAGAAATTTTGCCATTTGGTTTCAGCATAATAAAGCATAATAAGTGACAAACGAGACAACTTTATAATCAGTCTCACATAATTAGTTATAGTAACTACAAATCAATTGCTGTTTACAATCCACGATTCTGGTATCTGGTATCTGATATCTGGCATTTCATGTCCAAAACTGGACAACAGGAAAGCAATATTAAATATAATACCTTGTTATCTCACTGCTGCAATATATTTCCACGAAGCAATGTCTAAGTATAGGGCGTTACTTTGTGGATCAAAAAACATAAATAGAAACATGTCAATAAATATTATGAACAATTTGAAATTTCAATCTTGTAACAAACAAAATAAAGTATCAAATTATACTCGTAATAAAATCATCGTCAATACCACCTACCTTAATAGCGACGGTAATGAACTCTGTAAACTTGTTGAGGAAGATATCGAGGGTGTGCGGCCCGTAGATAGTTGAAGCACCTTCGTATCTTTGAACCTAGTGAATAACATCATTTGTTTCAAACGCAATTGTATAAAATAATTAACTTGGTTAGAACGTGAGTACTGTGGGTTCTACAAATTGTTTTTACCTAAAAATGGATTAGAAGTAATAACCGGTGGTAGGGCCACGCAGCAGCCTCGACTGTTGCACGAATGGACAGGCTCGTCCGGGTAGAAGTACCACGATCTCACTGAAGACGCCGGTCTTGACGCCGGTAAAGCGGAAGTATAATACTTTCGCGTTTCGTCTGGTGAGTGAGGTGGCCGGAGCCCAATGTTCAAAAGGTTGTCAACGCATCTGGAACCCTCGCGTGTAGCAGATGTCCATGGGCGGCGGTATTCACTTAACATCAGGTGAACCGTCTACTCGATTGGTAACTTTTCGCATAAAAAAAACCCTTACCTGATACTCTTCAAATGTGGTGACGTAATGAATGTACTCGTTGGTGAGGCCGGAGACCTCTACCATGGGGGTCAGACCACGTCTTCTCATGACGTCCCCCACCACGTCTTTCATCCTCCGGCCTGCCATGGTGGTGGGCTCCCCTGGCACGCCGAGGAGCGCGAAGCCACCCAGTAATACCAGCGATGCGGAAACCACATGCGGATGCCAGGGGACTGGCGTAGTGCCCTACATATTGTTGAATCATCATAATAATTCAATCGGAGACCTATTATGCTATCAAACAATAATAGATCGAAGGCAAAGATATGTAAAAATAACCCTGGCTGGTGTCCTTATTTACTTTAATTATCACCGTATAAAAAAGTAAACGTATGAATTTCAGAGTAAGATTCCATATGAACTGGTCTAAGTAAATAAGCCGATGGTAGATTTCGAAGTTCATAAGTGCTCGAATGACAATAATTAGACTTCGACTATAACTGAGAAGCAGCGATGAATGCATCTCTGACAGTAATAGAAAACACCACCGGCCCATTGCTACGGTGGTTCCGTTGCGCCGCGTAGCCAGTTTTTTTTAAATATATTGTATGTATGGTTTTCTTGACCTGATAACTTCGTGATTTTGCATGCTGATGGGGAGCAGACGAATTGCTCCTCGCCAGCATGTACTTTAGTACTTTAATTGAACACATTTTTAACTTAATGACTTTGCTTAACACATTTCTGAAGATAGAGGAGATTTGATTTTATTTGTTTTGATTTGACCGTGTTTTAGTCTTGCAAGAAATTGGAGTGAGTTGCGTACTTACCCTGCCGGTGGCAAGGAGTATAGGCTTCGGGGCGTGGCACTCGATGTCTTCGGGTGTTGGTCCTAATAGTGTTGCCACGATGGCATCCACCTGTGGTATCCCAGTTAACGTGCCCTAAAATGGACCGTCAGACGTCAGCATACAAAACTTTAATGGTATGTGCACTTGCCTGCTACGTTTCGAGACTAGGGCCTTGGCTTTTAAAGATATCTAGTTAATAGATGCAAATAGAAGTGATAATGTGCAAAACATAAAAGGCGTGAATAAGCTTGTCGGTAATATTAAACTGTGAACAGACCTACGTTATAAAAAAAATAAGAACTAAAATTTCATTGGTGCTGGCACTGGGATTTTAGCTCATTTTGCTCGAGTATACGGAGTCATAACTCATAAGCAAGAGCTTGGACGCTATGCTGTCACGGCCATACATCGAAAAGTAGAAAAAAAAACCGGCCAAGTACGAGTCCGACTCGCGCACGAAGGGTTCAGTAAGTGTAGCTCCCAAGCTACACTTATTTTTATTCCGTTTTTTAGTGTTATTGCGGCAACATTAACACATCTTTGAAAATTTCAATTGTCTAACTATCACGGTTCATGAGATACACCCTGGTGACAGACGGACAGAAAGACAACGAAGTCTTAGCAATAGGGTCTCGTTTTACCCTTTCGGCACGGAACCCGAAAACATTATAATACGTACTTATTTAATTATATTCCTTGCACATTCTAAACTAAGCATGAGAATTTATTTGAAATCCGACACAAACAACAAATGTAACTTTCTCTATACTTTAAATTTTTTTTGGAATATATTCTCACTCTTTCTCGTCTCTCTCTTTCTCGCTCAAACTGTTTCTCTCTTTGTCATACTCACTTTTAGGGGATTACATACCTGCGTTATATTTAATACGTTCGCCCCGTCAATAGTTCCAGACGCGAAGCTATAGCCCATGGCTGGGACGCAGCCTTTAACGGGTTCGTTCTGCAGAAATATAAAATGTAGATATACATATATAAAACAATAAACCTGCAAAAATTTACCGGATCGCAGAAAATGTCAGCAAGATGTAAACTGCAAAATATCGCCAAGCATGGAAAATCTTTGTAGGTGAATTAAGGAGCTTAAAATAATCTTAAAAGAACATGGTGAAAGTTTGGTCGTTTGCTTTTTGTTTCGTCAGCAGCAAAAAAATTAACATTCGGTGGCGTACCTCTCCGTTCGTAGTCGTGGAATGTCAATAACAAAACGAGTCCGCAGTGCATCTAACTGCTAAATAATGGAATGCCGGGGGCAGTAATTAAATTGCACAATTTTTCTGCGTATATGTAACGGTGAGTGTGGTAACCGAGACCCATCCCATACAGGATAAAAAAAACTCACCGGTGTTATTCCGAAACCGGGAACCGACTAAGTAAAGTGAAGTAAAATGGTAGTTGGAAGTTGCTAGTAATCGTTGGTAAAATCTGCTCAGTATTTCGAATGCCGAAAATTTTAGGCCAATGGGTGATACAAAATAGAAAGTTAAACAGCTAAAATAGTCAAATTTAGCGCATCCGGGCATGAGAGAACGCAGATTTATAGGAAAGGCGAGTTATAAAACAGAAAGTATAACGGTTAAGATAGGCACATGATTTGGCATTCGAAAAATAACGTGTGTTAAAAGTTAACTTACTACATTGAATGTCCTCGCAACTGGATCGTATTTCGAAGCAACCTGTTGTGGCATGTCGAGGAACTGATGGACGACCGCCAGCTCCCCCCAAAGCTCCGTTCCGCGACTTTTTAGTACTTCCTTTTTGAACAAAGTTGATACTTTAAAAAAAATATCAGATCATATTATAACATCATCATTAAATTATTCGTTAATTTATTAAATTATTCGTTTTTCAACAAAGATCTTTCAGACGGAAGCTCGTGGAAGCTGGAATGGAGTGCGTTTGTTAAAGCTTTAATCAATATTACAATAATATAATGTACAAATATAAAGTAGCTATGACAGTAGCGAACCGAAATTGAGGCACTCAAATTACGCCAATTGGTGTGGTTAGATTGAAATTCTATAAACTGCTACCTCTTTCCGTATCATAGTACGTTCTATATCATCTGTCACATTCGTTTATATATGTTATATAAAATTAAACAGAACAAGGTTCAAGCCACTTCAAAAACGAGGTAAACGAGTAGGTTCTCAATTCGACTGTATTTTTTTATGTTTGTTACCTCAGAACTTTCGACTTAGTGAAGCGATTTTGATGATTCTTTTTTTGTTTGAAAGCTAGTGCTTCCCATGTGGTCCCATATTAATTTCATTGGTATTGGATCTTGCACTCTGGAGCTACTTAACTACTGAAAATGAATAAAGTGCCAGATATTTGAAGTCGGTTTTATTTTTCGTTAATAAAAAATGGATTATTTAAATGCCTTTAACAGTCTACGGATTGAAATGAAAACATGAGTCAAAGAAAAGAATGAGAGATTTGCCTAAACAGGTCCTTAAACTTACCAGGGCGGCGTTGGCGACTGCGGTGCCGATAATCCTGGTGCTGTCGAACATGTCGTCGCCGGGACCCGTGGCGAAGCACCGCTCCAGGGCTTGGCACAGTGCGAACTGGTGGTCGCAAGGGCGCCCGCTGAACTCGCAGCGAGCGCCCCGAGTGTTGGGCGACACGTCGCCCAGGTTCGAGGAGAAAAAGCCCGTCACTATGGCCGGCTGGAAGGAGCCGAAAACTTTAAACGAAGTTTCTATTTTATTTTTATTCTGTAATATTTTTAATAACAAATATGTTACTCATACAAAATACTATACGGTAGAATGGCTATGGAGCAGTCTTTGCTGTTGCAAGAATGGGCAAGCTCATCCGGGGAAGTACCACCACCTCACAGAAGATTGGCGAGAAATAGAAGTATTATTCTTCTGAGTTTCATGTGGTAAGACCTCTGCTCACTTACCACCTTCTCACATAAAAAAAACATCTTTTAAATAATTATTTTTATATTTATAATTATATTTGCATTTACAATATTTATTAATTTTTAATTTTTTTTATTTTATTAATTTTATTAATTAAGAAATAACAATAGAAATTGAAACAAATTAGTATTTTATATATTCCTTAATATTTCTGATCAAGTAGCTACAAATAAACAAATAATAAATCTTGAAATGAAAAAGTCATTTAAAAATATATATAATAAATGCGGTTTATTATACCTTTTCAAAAATGTATTCGCGGAAAGTCTTACTAACAGTAAATGCATAACCTCTTTTAGTTTCTAACGTTCACACTGACACCCACCTGGCCAGTGCGAGAATTCGGGTTCAGTGCCCGCTCCATCCTTAGGGCGGCGTAGCCGAGGTTGTCGGAGGAGATGAGGTGGTTCGTCATGTTCATGCTGGTGGTGTGGACGGGGAACCAGTTAAGCACCCCGTGCAGGCTTCCGTCTCTCTTCACTATGCGCACTTGGGTGAGGGTGTTGTCAGTGTTGGTTTCGTACCTACGAACAGTGTTTCCTAGTGTACAGCAAATGCATGAATGGGCAGCCCTTGATATACTGCAGCCTGGATTGTTTTATTTAGGTTTTACTCGTGCTTTTTTACCTCACTGATGACCACTAATAAAAACACTGGCATTGAATCGCGCCAATATACCTTCGCCGTGATTTGAACTTATGTTAGAGCTCATACATCGAGGGTATTTATAGTTTTGCCTAAGTTTTAAGAGATGGAAACGCATCAGCAATTATTGACAATTGATTGATAACTTATCATAATTCTGGTATATGTCAAACATGAACGCCATTTTACCAGAATTATGTTGCTACTTACCACCCACTTTTACGAGCCTAAGGTCCTGAAAACTATTACGGGATAAAAAGTATCTAAACTTTTGATCAAATACAAAATTTGTCCATTAACATACTCGTCATTTCATTGAAATCTATTCAGACACTGCCTCACAAAAGAAAGGCATATAGCAGAAGTACTTATACATATTCTCGTTGAACTAACTGACACCTAAGATTTAAAGCTTTGAAAAGCTAATAACATAATAGGAACACAAAAGCAACTCCACGGACGTTGTTGTACGTTGTTGAACGCCCGCCACAACGTGCGACGTCTTTGTTTTTTGGCTCCTATATAAGCATTTACATCAGGCCTTGATCTTGATTAAAATAATATTTTTTTTAATATGAAAAGTTGCCAAGCGAGTAGACGGTTCACCTGATGTTAAGTGAATACCGCCGCCCATGGACATCTGCTATACCAAAGGGTTGCAGATGCGTTGACTACCCTTTGGAAATTGGGCTCCGGCCACCTCACTCACCAAACGAAACGCGAAAGTATTATACTATGTAAGAATTCTCTGCGAATTTGAAAGTTTATAAATATTCTTTTATTTAATCATAGCCGGTGGTAGAAGTATGTAAAATTTAAATAAGAATATTAGTTATACTTTTCAAACGTAATAATCCAGTTTGGGAGAATATCGTGACTCTCTTGACTCTCCCTTCTAAAACCTCTTGTCCATGTTTGTGCTACTCACCGCTGTCTCTCCTCGGCGGGGTTTTGGTTGTAGGAGTATGGGGAACGGTTAACGTGCACGTCCCACAATCGCGTCTGGCCGAAGAGCAGTCGAGCGGGCACCATGTTCTCGTGAGCCCGGACTATGCTCTGGAAATAACCATCAGTAGTATTACTTATGTAGTATACTAGTAACCATAATTATCTTTCTACGATAATTGAATATTAGTGAACTTCTTCCGTACCGTAACGATAGATTTAAGCAAGTCATCAGAAGATACGCTTTATAAGGACGTTATGTCCACCATGACCTTCTTTATTCTTCTATCGTTCATCCTAGCTATTCCATGTATGCATAGATATGCAGAGATATGCAGCAACCAAACATTTTTATAGATATAAAAATATTTGGTTGCTTAAACACGGAGAGGGTGATTTAGCAGTTGTAATCATAGTAAATAACGAGACCTCACCCTGGTGATTCCTGCCACGTATGCGTTGAAGGTCTCCTCGGAGAAGCCCAGGATGCTGATGTCCAGGAGGAAGTCGACAAGGTGGCCGCCAGGCGCGCTGTGCGTGTGAGTCCCCGTAAGGACCACGTTGCGCAGGGAATACATGTCGCCATACAACTTTTGGAGATTCTTCACCACCTGATGACATGAACAGATACTTGAAAAGTGCTTACTTACAATTTATCTGATAATGTTACGTACACCTTAACGCCACCGTTCCCGTACCGGCCTCGATTCATTCATATAATAGAGGAAGGGGATGGAAGTGTGCCCTCACCGCGTACAAAAGGTACAGCCATGTTCCGGGACGCATCTCATCTCAGCCAATCTACGAATAATACAGTTGATGGTCGCTCGGCACTCATGGACACATCTGTGACTCTTTTAGTGTTGGTGGTGCCACCAGCCAAGAGTCACTCTTCTAGAATTGGGTATTTTGGTTCCCTTATTACAAGTTATATAGTATAAGAAGATCCATTTTCATAGAACTGTCAGTAGTATCAATAGTATGAAGATGTTATATATTTTAATAGCTCACTTGTCGCCTGACAGCAATGCCAACTGATTGTACGTCTGCCGTTACCAGAACGACCCTAGTGTCACCCTTCGCGAAGATGAATGCCCTGGAGAATTGGCGCAAGTGGATACCGCGCCCTGCTTGCCCGAAATCCGCGTATCCCATCTGATGAGTAAAAGTAAAGTGTGAGCGATTAATATTGTTTTTTATTTATGTGAAAAGTTGCCAAGTGAGCAGACGTTCACCTGATGTTAAGTGAATGCCGCCGCCCATGGACGTCTGCTATTTCCGAGGGTTGCAGGTGCGTTGACAACCTTTTGAAAAATTGGGCTCCGGCCACCTCACTCACCAAACGAAACGCGAAAGTATTATAGTTCCACTTTACGCCGGTCTTCTGTGAGGACGTGGTACTTACCCAGACGAGCCAGCCCATTCGTGCAACAGCTGCGGCTGCTGCGTGGCCCAACCACCGTGATATTATTTTATTGATATTATATTATATTTATTGCACATACGTGTATTTATAATTGTTAAGTGTACACCATTGACTACCATTTGTGACAAATTTAAAGTCACAGGTCTACTGGAAGAGATTTCTTAAGAAATAAGCAGAGCCTTTATACAAATCTTTTCCTGTTATTATATTTCATTTTATATACACTGTGTACATAGATTGTTCAAAAAATAAAACGATTGTAACTTAAAAGGGAAATACTGACGATTGGAATAGAAAAGGAAAATTTCCGTCCGTCGGAATTATAACTTGAAATTTTATATCTGTATATTTCTGGTTGCTCAGCATTAATTAACACCTCTTTCTTCTTTTATATACCCAAAACTATTACTAAAACGTCGTTTATAGAAAATGAAATTAATATTAATGTTTTATCTTAGTTGCAGAGATTAGCTTTATAATAATTTAAAGTTCTATTGAAAAATTTGTTATTACTTATTACTTAAATTACAGGTTTATTTGACTTACAAAATTGTACTCCACACACGGTCCAGTCATGTCAGCTATTCCGACACCCGCCTCGTAAATTATTTGTCTTTCAGTTCGTTCGCCTTTAGTCATGTTGTTCTCGTAGACGGAGTTCCTAGTGTTGTCCGCGATCGTTGGGTCCCCAGTTCTGGTCGAGTCGTCTGCCAGAGCGTTCACACCACCAACGAGAGCCAGCACCACTATGGGTATGATGAGTCGGCCGGACATCGTGAGCGTTTTCTGCGGTGATAATAAATATATAGACGAACATCATTTGGGTATATTATATCATCATATTCATCATTTGGGTATATTATATCATCATATTCATGTTGCACATCTGTATATCCATCCGAGCCTGAAACGAAGTGGCCCTTTCCTTTTCTCTATACTCGTATCTCATCGCTTGAACAGTAGCAGACTTAAGACAAGTAATTTTTGTATTAAGGAAAAACAGAACCGACTGTATTCATTTTTATAATTGATTTTTAGGAATTCCCTACGTATCTCGGAGCCCAAGATCCAATGCAAATGAAATTAATATGGGACAACATGAAAAGCACCAGCTTTCAAATACGAAAAGAATCATCAAAATCGGTTCCCTCAGAAATAAGTTCTGAGATAACAAACATATAAAAAATACAGTCGAATTGAGAAACACCTTATTTTCAGGAAAATACAATCGACGCTAATTAAATTCGAAGCATTTTGCCTAGGCAACAACTATTTTTCGGTAATCTTAATTAGGAATTGAATACCACGTAATTGTGTAAAAAACATAAAAAAATAATGAATTGAGAAAACACACCTTTCACAATCAACGCCAATTAAATTCGCGCTTATTTTTCGGTAATCTTGATTAGGAATTAAATACTTTGTAATATTATCTTTGATTGAGGCCGTTAAATTAAGAAACCGCTGATTAGTATTAATACAAATGAAATTATATTGCTTCTGAATTGATCGTTTGTATAATCTATAGTTGTATATGTAGTATACGGACACTAAGCCGTGATAGCTCAGTGTCCGGGCGCTCGCCTTTAATTCAATATACTCGAGCAACCTGAGTTCGATCGCCGGTGCCGGCACCAATGAAGTTTTAACTTTAAGTGTTGACTTATCACGTGCTCCGCGGTGAAGAAAAACATCGTGAGGAAACCTGCATATTTCCTAAATAATAACAAAAAAATATATATTTCTAAGATATGTGAAGTCCGACAATCCGCAGTGGGGCCGCGTGGTGGACTATGCCCTGATACCCTCTGATAGAGGATGCCTTTGCCCAGCAGTGGGACATGTATAGGCTGTTACTCTTTTTAATGTAGTATAAGCAATGTCGGCAGCAGTTTTTTTTTTTTAGTCGAGAGCAAAATTAGTCACTATTTTTGATTTCTGATTCAAATTATTCAAATCGAACTCTTGGAGTATAATAGCTTACTTAAAACGAGGAGGACAGTTCGAATAGGTTTCAGCTCTTTCGATGGACCGCTTGGTTAACTTTTTATAGAGTTAGCGTCGTGCTTCCAAAGATGTTGGATACCTAAATGTTACTTGCCCCAACCAATGTCGAATGAAACCAAGATGATACTTAATTTAGCTAACTTAATTTTAAGATAATAAGACTTTTTGAATGATTGTTTATTGTTTATACAGGGCGATGTGATCGCACAGCGACAAGGCCCTTTAATTAAATTTAAAAGAAAGGTTCATGGGTTTGTTACATTATAGAGTCGGCTGTACGTAACGAACGCAGCCCTGTATTCGATAGATTATTTTGTTGTTAAACATGTTTTTATGCACAGATGTAAAAACAAAAATTGATGAATGATTACAGCAGTATTGATACAAAAATACTTTGAAGTTGATGACGCAGTTACTAGAGCAATTGGCTTTAAGGGTTTGTACCTAAGGAAGGTTGACGTCTGGCAAGCGGTCGTCAAAACTTAGCACCACTAACAAAATGATTCGTGTATTGCGCCAAATTGACATACATGATATTTGAAATTACTGTAAATGCAGAATGATTGAAAAAATGTGTGACGTAATATCTTAGCAAGCGCCCCTAATTCAGGGGCGGATTTAGAGGTCTGGAGGCCTTGGGGCAACAAACAGGTGGATGCTCTAAATTATATTCTAAATAAATGAACAAATAATTTTTGAATTGAAAAGTTGTTTACATGTCTGAATTTGAATTATTTTTCCGAAGTCTATTGTGGGAGCCTGTCTTTTGTGGCGGCCCCCTAAATCCGGCCCTGCCCTAATTAATAATGAATTAACTACATTATAAATTTAATTATATATCACGCATACCTGATCGTTAATCTGGAATCTGTCTAAATAAAAAAAAAATGTACAACTTAAAAATAAAACCGGAATCCACTCGATGCAGAAAGTGTAAACTAAAATGACATAATCATTTTTGAATATATCCTTCGCGCACTTATAGCCAATTGAAAGGTAAAAACGTCACTACACGCATTCGGCGCCAAGCATTTAATCAAATAGTTTTAACAGTAATGATTTTTCATTTATCTAATCGAACCTATTGAAATAATCGCCTAAGTATTCTTTATTACGCGGTACACGTATTATAAAATTACTATGCTTCTTCTCACGAACGGTAATCAAGACATTTAATAAACTAATAAAAAATCACTATATAACCTAAGATAATTATATTTCAACCAGATTTTTTATCACAATAAATAATGTAAAAAATAAATAATGTAGTAAAATAAATAATGATGATGTAAAAAAGGAGGTGATGAGGGAAGCTCAGTAACGATCAATTGAATATAATCAGCAACCGTGCTATAAGTAAACTAAAAAAAAGTTTATACTAGTTAATGAAGTATATCACTTCGCTCCGCTATGACATACTTTATTTTCAAATATCCATGAACATTTTCACGTAGGTACTGCTACTCTTCACTCTGTGAATACCAGATGTGCTAATCTGCCAAGTAAACAAGTCTTCTGCAACATACATTTTCAATTTTTATAATAATAGACCTCGAGTGAAGCCTTGATCTGAGTGAAAGCAAACACACGCTTTGTCAAATAATCTTAATTTGCTTGTTTGTTTCGATTTTGATTTATCAATGTTTAATAATGCAATACTTGAAACCTGAATTAAAAAGTGTGCCTGCTGCAGTTGCTAAGCATTTAGCTTCGGTACCGGAGGTAGTGGGTTCAAGTCAAGTAGGCGGCCGGTGGTTAAAAACCGAATAATACCATTATCACCATGACTCACATGTTGTGCCGACCCCACCTAAGGTGGGCTAGCTAGATAGGCAGGAGAAAAAACAATAAGAAGAATACGTGTACTACTAAGGCTGATATTATGGCAAGTAAAACCGGCCAAGTGAGAGTCGGACTTGCGCAAGATGGGCTCCGTAACATAATCCATAAAAACGGCAAAAAAATCATGTCTGCTGTATGCGAGCCCGACATAAATAATTTTTTTTAGTATTTGTTGTTATAGCGTCAATACATCATCTTTGAAAATTTCAACTGTCTAACTACTATCACTTTTTATAAGATACAGCCTGGCAGACGCACAGACAAACAGACAGACAGTCTTAGTAATAGGGTCCCGTTGTACCCTATTACTAAGTACTTTAATCAGAGTATTCGAGGTGGAGAGTAAGGGCCAAAACAATAATCGACTCTACGCGTTAAAAATATTTTATTTGAATTTATTATTTTAAAATTTTATTTATGGCTTAAAATGATCGGGAGGTTTCATCATCTTGAAACTTGGAAGGTGTCGCTGACTCCAGTGAACTGGGTGACGGAGCCAATGATGCTACGCGACGCGCCTCTGTACACCAGACGGTGGGGTCCAGGGATCACTCCACTTGGCACGTGCCACTCTACTCGCGCCTGACTGGTTGCGAACAGCGTAGACAATCTCTCCCAATGGAACCTAAAAACACATTCTCGTACTTTGTATTTTGTATAACTGACGTTACGTGCGCGGGAAGCCGATGGATGCAAATGGCTCAGGATCGTGCTTCGTGGCAGTCTGTGGGGGAAGGTCTATGTTCAGCAGTGGACTCAAACAGGCTAAAATGATGATGATAGTACGCTTTCAGTCCTTAGACTATTAAAGCATCTACGAACGCAGACACGGTGGGCTGGCCAGAACCGGTAGGGCCGCGCATGTACTCATGCGTGCGTTAATTATGTAATTCTCGTCATTCCACTCTACGTGAGCATGGTGAACTGAGTTTATTGTCTTTTTAGAATACGCCAGTTATTAGTGTTATAATAAATAAATAAGTGTTATAATTCTAGTCCCAAGCTATATATATATAGGAGATAGCTAACAATAATTAACACTAATTTGATAACAAATATTGAAATCAATAATTGAGATAAAAACTACTCTATCTCTCAAGTTAGACCAAATTATAAATGCTTCCAAAAAATGATAAAAATTGGTTTAATAGTTTCGGAGTTTAATCCGAAACATTTCCGGAGTTTAATCCGAAACATCGTGAGACGAACTTTTTATATATATAGAAGATATATACCCAGACACTATAAAAACACTATGACCATCACATAAAATTTTCCAGTAGTGAGGATCGAGCCCACACCCTCTAGCGCAAGAGGCAGTGTCACTACCCATTAGGCCAATCGGGTTAAATCCCTTACAAAAAAACTACGCATGTCATGTAAGCGAAGGAACTGGTGCCAAATTTGGTCGTCGACACATTTGTAAACCATCGAGTGTTGTAGTTGTCCATTGGCGGCGGTATACACTTAACGTCAGGTGAACCGCCTGTTGGCTTGTCGACTTTTCAGATAATAAGTGGCCCACGTAGTAGGCCATATACCAGCAGGTTGGACATAGTTGCTGCTGCTCGAACGGACCAACCTAAAACTATCTGAAACCCGCACTGTCTATTGATGAAGTAATTTTTACGGAGCAAAAACTTTGACGCCAAATCTTATAAAGCAATAAAACACCCATATGCTTTCCTTTTTACTTATTTGGGGAGATTGGACAAAGAGTTAAAAGTTAAGTTTCAAGTAAGCATACACATAAGGAGATTTATATGGAAGTGTGGTCACTCACTTGGTCTCCCAATCGGCATCAGTTGCAACCACCACCCAGTCATTCCCCTCGTACCTTTCGACCATTATGTGGGAGGACTCTTGGCGTAGGTCGTTTCGAGGGTTGGCGGCAACCTGGCGACGTTTTCGATGCAATGTCAAATCAAATCAAGAGTGTTCATAAAATCAGAATCAAGGTCAATGATCCTTATTTGTACTCTTATTAGGAACTTTCTATATAACTTATTATGTCTAATACTTTAAAGAAGCAATTCTTGTATAAGTATATAATCAGAATGGCTCCAACGATTATCATGAACTTCAGCATGCTGAAGGTTTTGGGAGCGAGAAATCGATATAGCTAGGTTTCATTTTTAGAAAACGCCATTTTATTCGTGTTTTCGAGCAATGAAAAAATTCATTAGAATACCAAGGTAAATCTCACCACCATCTACAATGCTATCATAACTCGGGCAATTATACCAGAAAAACACAAAAGGAACCAGAAAGCCTTGGTTCGAGTCCAGATAATTTTTTTTGTTCTTTTTTTAAGCATAGATAATTTTTCCCTTTTTTTTCAAGTTCCTTCTTTTGTGAGAAAAATGTCATATAAAAGTCATTCAGGTACTTAATTTTAAGTGTTTCATCAGTTACCTGAAAGCTATAGCTTATTATATAGCCTTGCTTAGTTTGGGACTAGATAACGTTGTGTAAAAATGTCCTCAAAATATTAAATTGCATTAACTGATCGACATTAAATTACAGGCAACGTCTAGTATAAAAAATCAAGAATCCCATGAGATTGCACAACACAGGAAGATACTTTTGATTTTTAAGACGTTGAAAAAAATTTTTTATAACCGTCAAAAAGCAAAATTAATTTTTTGACATTTGACCTAATCTAACTAAAACTCCGTCGTAATTGAAACGACACTTAGCAGCTGCGCTAAGCGAGTCAGTGTAAATTAATTAATCAGTTACATCAAACAGCCTATTCTATATAAAACTAGCTTAAGTCCATTAGACTAGTCTTGCACCCGACGTAGCAATCGTGTTTTTTCTCGATATAAAATGTTCCGAAATGTTAATGGTGACTCCGTGGCGCAGTTATCAGGGCTTCGGCGTCGGGGGTCGTGGGTTCGATCCCCACACGTTACACGTTTGTGTGACCCACAGATAGTGGTATCGCATCTGGGCGTTTGTCCGCGTGAAATTTATGTTTGTGAAACGTCCTTACAACACAGGATAATGTATCCTAAAGTAAGGGCAATGTTAGAAAAAAAATAATAAAAGAAACGAAGACCATATTTCCCAGTTTTAACTGAATTTGAATAGCAAATTCACGCGCCTAGTAAAATTTACAATGTCAACACGAAGAACTCACGAAAGTGGCACTGGCGAGGTCTCCGGGGCTGACAGCCGAAGGTGGCTGCTGCAACACATCGCCAAAGGATCGACCGAAGGGGGTTCCGTCCAAGATCACGCGAGGCACCAACCCGATGGTTCCATTGCGGTGGTCCATGGGTTCGGAACCTGGTTCCAACTCCCCGCCCTACAGGTTAACACTAGCAGATTGATATTAAAAATATTAAACAGAGGTTATTGGCGGACTTAACAGAAAAGTAACAGCATCTTATATTTACTCTTTATAAGGGAAGTACTTCCGTTATAGAGAGCGCCATTGTCCGATAAGTGAGGTAGCCGGGACCCACTCCTTCCTTGGAGTATTTTAGGGATGAAGTATTGACATGCAAAGCAATCTTTTCGTGTAATTTTGATATAACACCGGCCGCGGTAAATCATCTTTTTTTTTTAAAGATTGAACTTCAAATTGCACTGACAATGTAAGACACTCAGACACAGAGCTTCCACGGCTTGTGTGGTATTTAATACTGAAAGAACAATAACAGCAGATAGAAGGAAAGAGATAGAAAGAACTAAAGGAGCAAACATTTCTTTACATATGAATTATCGAGTTCAAAATGATGTATTTTACATGTGAAAAGATTTCAAGCGAGCAGACGGTTCACCTGATGTCTTCTGTTAGGCCGTGGTACTTCCCACGACGAGCCTGCCCATTCGTGCAACAACTGAAGCTGTTGCTCAGTCCTACCACAGATTTAGTCTACATAAAGACTAAAAAATAAATACGACAAATTTAATATCAGATTTAAAAAAAATAGTTATAGTCCAAAGACAAAGCGATCATGGCTTTGAATCCACGATCAAGATCCATGTATATATTAACTTCTCACATCGGTGGAATGTATTTCCTACCGAGGAGTATCAGCAAATTATACTTGAGGTAACTTATATGTTATAAGATAATTTTAATTTGTAGTGCTACTTGTTTTAAATAAAATGTTTTTGAGTTCGATCGATCCGAGTCGATCAATTTTGTTTACAATGTTGCTACTAAAAACTTAATAGTTAATATATTGTTTTTAATATCGACGTCAATACCACCAACCTCAATAGCGACGGTAACGAACTCGGCTAATTTGTTGAGAAAGATGTCGAGGGTGTGCGGCCCGTAGATAGTGGAAGCGCCTTCATATCTTTGAACCTGGTGGATATCTTTTTATCTCAAATACAAGTAAATCATCATCATCATCCTGCCCTTATCCCACCTATATGGATTCGGCACAACATGAGAATCTAGTTGTAATCGGTTCTTGGATGTTTTTACGACCGGCCGCCTACCTGACGTCAACCCTCCTAGGGGAACACCCAGATCCCGAGACAATTACTTGTGGGTCACACAAATACTTGTCCCGTGTGGGAATCGAGCCCACGACCCTAAACACCGAAGCGAATAGCTTAGCACCAGCGCCATCGAGTCATCTTTTACGCGTCGTATTTTGACGTGATTTGTAAATACGAGTATGCATCATGAAATTCTGAAAACAAATTATAACTTAATTCATCCAGAAAGATATACGAGTAATTTCAGCTACTCTGTTCTGGTACTTGGTCTGCTACTTGGTTCTTTCCCAAAGAGATCGTCGATAGCAATGAATGAAAATGAATTTTGATTTATGTAAGTAAACGCCTCATTAGTCAGACCTGTCGTATTGTATTCAGTTGCGAGGTTTAACAAATAACATTTTGTTTCACAAAACTTGTTGGTACTCGATATTTTTTTTTTCATTTATTTATACTTTATTGCAACCTTTAAATAAAAAGATTTACAACGGGTGAACTTAATGCCTTTTGGCATTCTCTCCCGGTCAACCCGGGGCGTGGTGAGAACACGTGGTAGGTGCAATTATTACATTAAAATATTTATATGTATTACTATATAATTACTTAAATATATTTATATGTATTACTATATAATTACTTAAATATATATACATAAAAAACATATATATATATATATATATATATATATATATATATATGCATAAATGGAATCTATTTAGATCCAGCGGCGGTGGCCATGATTGTATGACAAAACAATTTCTGTACCCCCCTTATTTTCTTTTATTATAAAGGATAGACAGTAGTCCTCCTTAAAAATGACGGTGCCCGCCTCAAATTATTGGGGATACGCAAAAGTTTATAGCGTCACGTCATATTTTAAATTATAACACAAACAATATCAAGTTACTCTCCCAAAGCAGTGACATTAAGAGTGAAACTAATAAAACAAAACGCTCTAAGTTTCGTGACACAAATTCCAGAACGTAATATCACAGGATACGTTGTAAAACATTATTCTCGCCTTAAAATTAAGGGCCTTTTCCGTGTTTTACGTACTTGATACTCTTCAAATGTGGTGACGTAATGAATGTACTCGTTGGTGAGGCCGGAGACCTCAACCATGGGGGTCAGACCGCGTCTCCTCACGGCGTCCCCCACCACGTCTTTCAGCCTCCGGCCTGCCATGGTAGTGGGCTCCCCTGGCACGCCGAGGAGCGCGAAGCCGCCCAGCCACACCAGCGATGCGGACACCACATGCGGGTGCCAGGGGACTGGCATAGTACCCTAAACAACACTTAGTAACTCTTGAGCACTTCACTCAGTTCACACAATACATCAGTTGACTCCTCATAAGGTAGTGACCAATTAGTGGAGTCGAAGACAATATAAGACACTGTCGTAAATATGACACATCTAAGAAAGACATGTAAAATTAAAAACTTTAAGTAGAAATTTTAATGTTTCATCATAAGTGCAAACTAAAAGATTAGAACTAAAAAAATTAAATAATAAACTTTCTTCGGAATCTTTTTAAATTTTTGTAAAATATTGGCTTATTTTTTTAAATAGTTTCTTTAAATCTTTTTATGGTTCTCTAGAGCCCACAGAACACAATTCATATATCAGTTGTGCATTTGTTTGTTTGTATAATGCCTATCACAGCTGGTATAAAAAGTTTAAGCTCGATTTACTCATTACAGGCAAAACTTTCATTCATCTTCACTTCTTCGAGTGCAACGTGCAAACGAAAGAAATCTCGAAAGATGTTTCAATGCACGATACTTCGACAATCATAATTACTTTCAGTAGCGGATTTAGGCATAGGCCCGGGCCTAGGGCGGCAGATTATGAGGCGCGCCAAAATTTTCAACACGACCAAAATTAAAAATCGATTGGGTTTTCTGTGAACTGGAAAAACCAAATTCTAAAGTTTATTATGGGTCTAGGGCGCCATCGCTGCTGAATCCGCTACTGCGTGTTTTATTTCGCGAAATATTTCATATCATATATCTATATATATATATAAAAATGAATCCCTATTTCCCTTGGTCACGCCATCACGCGTGTTTGTTATTATCAGGAGAAGGCTCTTATGAAAGAAAAAATTTAAAATGTTGCGCGGAAAATTAGAAAATTTAAGAATACTTATTTAAGAATACTTAACAACCATATAATATTATTTCTAATTTAACTTCTTTCAGATATTGTTTCCATGTTTTTCACATGGCCAGTTATATGTCGCCTGTTCCCGTGTCGGAATACCAACAAAACTATTCATATACACGCAAGAAAAAAAAAACAAGAATATTGTATATCATAAAGCATTAGAATAATAAACACACTTTTCTATTAATTATATCAATTCGAATTAAATAGTCATCGTTAAGACAGGACAACGTCTGTCGGATCAGCTAGTCGTACATAATAATTTTTATGGGTAAGTACGTACTTACCCTGCCGGTTGCAAGGAGTATGGGCTTTGGGGCGTGGCACTCGATGTCCTCGGCCGTTGGCTCGACAAGTGCTGCCACGATGGCGTCCAACTGTGGTATCCCCGTTGTGGTACCCTAGAAGGGAACGTCAGGCACTCGCAAACTAAGCTTAAGAGGTACATTTACTATGCTTCAAGAGTCTGGAGAGGCTTGGCGGAGAATTACAAGAATTGGAGAATTGCTTAGAGCTAGCTTATTAGCTTATTAGCTAGTTAGCTTAAGAAGTATCCAGTGTTGATAAACCGTTGACATCCAACAACTGTTGATAAACCTTTTTAAATGTTATATTCATGTTTGTCTAATCTAACGGCGGCAATGGATTTGAAAATATACAAAAGATGTAATTCTTTTATTAAAGAAACGTAGTAATACATGAATATACTTACAATATTTGTTACTGTCTAGTTAAATTATTTTTTTTAATATAGAAAAAACACTAACATAAAATAGTTCTTATGAACAAATCTCTTAAAAATATGTATTTTTCACGTATCACTGATGTAACGCCTTGTACGCACTCGTGTATAAAACAAAGTGATAGAGAATAAATCCTTTTAATGGGGTATTTCCTAATGCTTCCTGAACTGATTGAGAAAGAGAATTCAATTAAAAGGTACTCTCTGTCTCCCTCTCTCTTTAACTCTCTCTCCCATTCTTTGTCATACTCACTTTCAGAGGAGTACATACCTGTGTTATGTTCAAAACGTTCGCCCCGTCGATAGTTCCAGACGCGAAGCTATAGCCCAAGGCTGGGACGCAGCCTCTTACGGGCTTGTTCTGCAGAAATATATAGTGGCTGCAGAATGCAAACAGGATAGCAACGGCAAGCATGGCATGTTTTTGAAGAAAGATTATGTTTAGAGAGGCTTTTACAGGCTAAAACCCTGAGTTGCGAAAAAAAAACCTAACAGTTTGACCTTTTAGGTTCTTTTTCAATAAAACATATAAATTTAATTGGATAAAACTTTGTTTTTGATTTTCTTAGTTCACTTACTAAATTTAGATAATTGTCAAGTTAAATTAGAATAACTCTAATTTAGGTAGAATAACAAGCTTTAGTTATGACTCTAAGTGGAACCCGCGTTTCGTGTGATGAGTGAGATTAGCAGTGCATATACAACCCCACCAGTATTGTAAATTGACCCAACAACTCCACCGGTATTTTAGATGTCTGGGGCGGCGGTGACTTTACGTCTGATGAACCGACTGTTCTCTTGCCACCTTCTGAAGTAAATACAAAGCTCCCAACAGTAGCTACTGGGCAAATATGCAAATCATTTTGAACCGCGAAAATTTAATTGAGAAATTTTATTGAGTAGTAGGTAAGCCAAGTCGTGTTACAAAACTGAAATTAAAAAGGTCAAAATAGCAAACAAAGCTCCCAACATTAGTTAGGTACTGGTAAAATGTACAAATCATTTTGAACCGCGAAAATTTAAGTTAGAAATTTTAGTGAGTAAGCCAAGTTGTACAAAACAAATTAAAAAGTTTAAATGAGTTATTTGACGCACTCGAGCATGAAAAATACGTCTGGTAAAAACAAACTCACCTCATTGAATGTCCTCGCCACTGGATCGTATTTCGAAGCAACCTGTTGTGGCATGTCGAGGAACTGATGGACGACCGCCAGCTCCCCCCAAAGCTCCGTTCCGCGACTCTTTAGCACTTCCTTTTTGAGCAAAATAGTTTATTATACACAATTACAATTAAAATTTACAATATTTTTTTTTTATTTATTATTAATTTTTTTTATTTATTATTAAAATTATTAAAAAAAATTACAATTTACAATTAAAAAAATTATGCACTGTGATAGGACCACGAAACAGTCTTCGCTGTTGCACAAAAGGGCAGGTCCATCCGGATAAGTACCATGAGCTCACGGAAAATTATCGTGAATTCGAATAGATACAGTTTCCCTTTCGTCTGGTGTGCGCAGAAGAATGCCCGTAAAGCTCAAGGGACTCGTCTACAATAGTATCATCAGGCCTGTTTTGACCTACGGTAATGAAACCTGGGCCGTAGTGAAACCACTCCACGCAAGTAGCCGAAATGAAGATGTTCCGGTAGATGTACGGGGTAAGCAGACTCTACAAGATACGCAATGAACACATTCTGTAGTCTGCGAGTTCGTGGCATCGCCGACAAGATTCAAGAAAGCAGGCTGCGCTGGTTTGGGCATATTAAAAGAAAACCTCCAGAATACATAGGAAATGTAGTGACCAATCTGCACGTGCCGGGATCTAGACCCAAAGGGCGACCTAAAACCAGGTGGACAGATGTGGTCAGACAAGATCTACGTTCCCGCAACGTTACTAAAGATGACGCGTCGGATAGAGCGAAGTGAAGACCAGGAGGGCAGACCCCACCATCAGATTTTTTTTATGGGAAAAGTTGCCAAACGAGCAGACGGTTCACCTGATGGTAAGTGAATACCGCCGCCCATGTACATCTGCTACACCCGGGGGTTACAGATGCGTTGACAACCTTTTGAAAATTGGGCTCCGGCTACCTCACTCACCTAACGAAACGCGAAAGTATTTGTCATACTTCCACTTTACGCCGGTCTTCTGTGAGGTCGTGGTACTTACCCGGACGGGCCTGCCCATTCGTGCAACAGTCGAGGCTGCTGCGTGGCCCTACCACCGTAAATGGGAATAGTCATTGCACGACAGAGAGAGAGATAGACAATTCATATAATTTTATACAGTATATATTACATATTCTTCATGAAAACGTTTTGCGCCCTTTATAAAATCTGCTTTTAAAATATTAAGTTTTCATACTACAGTGGATTGATTTGGTGGTGGAAAACTTAAAAACCTAACTAAGCATTTACAATTATATATGAAGATTATTATTATATATTACTATGTTTGAGTCGCCCATCTAAAAATCATCGAACGCTGTAGCCACGACCCTCGTAGATGCTGAAGCTATGCCTAAACTTACCAGGGCGGCGTTGGCGACTGCGGTGCCTATAATCCTGGTGCTATCGAACATGTCCTCGCCGGGACCCGTGGCGAAGCACCGCTCCAGGGCTTGGCACAGCGCAAACTGGTGGTCGCAAGGGCGGCCGCTGAACTCGCAGCGAGCGCCCCGAGTGTTGGGCGACACGTCGCCCAGGTTCGAAGAGAAAAAGCCCGTCACTATGGCCGGCTGGAAGGAGCCGAACACTTTATACTTTATCGAGATTTTAATATCGTTTTTTTTTTTTTGTTACAAGGATTGGAACACTTTATTATCTATCGAGATATTAATACCAATTCTTTTTTATTACTAAATTGTTACTTTAAACTATTAAATACTTAAAACACTTACTGCTTCCACCATAACTACTAGGGAAATATTTATACTTTTTGAAAAGTAATAATATAATCCAAAATAATTTCAAAAATATTTTCATATCTAACTTCCTTTTTTTTTATTTACTTATTTGTATAATTTTATGAATGCAGGTAGGCTTTTCCGTTTCCATTAAAATTTATTAACAAGTATTAACTAATATACAACTCGAGTAAAGAGTTAATTAGAAGATTAAGAAACCAATTAATATTGTCTTTGTAATGCTATTTTTCTGTAGCTGACTTTGTAATACGAGATGACCCTTGCGAAATTATTAGTCCAGTGCCGTGATCGGTTAAGGCAATTTAATATTGTGACAATAAGTATTGACCAATGAAACTTGTCAGTAACTGCATTCATCTTGTCGATACTGGCAAACATAAACTTTAAAATGCTATTTGGATCGGTAATTTCCATGCATGATCATGGAAGTTAAGGGGTATCAAAGAAAAACCACCTTTAAAAAATAATATACAGAGTTATTTAAATTTTTATAGTACTAATCTCTGCACTTAAAATGATATATTAAAAATGTACGAAAAGTTTTTCGCCGATGTGGGAACCAAGTCTTCGGGATTAGCGCCCAGACGCTTTAACTACTAAGCTCAACGGCTGATTGCCACACACACCGACGAAAATCTCACTGTCTTTTATCTACATTGTTTGTTCGCATTTAACGCTAAGCTTGGCGCATCCATCGTTATATCCTTTACAGCATACAATTTCGAATATCGTTTTACAAAGTCAATTCGAACGAGAGATGTGGCCATTGCTATTAGAAATTAAAATTTTTATAGTGCTAATCTGTGCACTTAAGATGATACATATAGTAGAAAATTTCGTTGATTTCCACAGCAGCGATAAACTTTTCGTACTTTTTTTCTACAAATTTTTAAATAATAACACATAATAATAAATAGATATTCACGAGTCAGTCTCACAGTTAACCCGTAACGTCTACTTAAGCACGTTCTAGCAGTCTCCTACCTGGCCGGTGCGAGAGTTCGGGTTCAGTTCCCGCTCCATCCTTAGGGCGGCGTAGCCGAGGTTGTCGGAGGAGATGAGGTGGTTCGTCATGTTCATGCTGGTGGTGTGGACGGGGAACCAGTTGAGCACCCCGTGCAGGCTTCCGTCTCCCTTCACTATGCGCACTTGGGTGAGGGTGTTGTCAGTGTTGGTGTCGTACCTGCGAACAATCTAGGCTATTATCGAGCCGAGGCAAAGACGGGAATTACAATTTACAATTTTATCTACTTTTGATGACTCGTGGCGCAGTTGCCAAGGTATTGGCTTCGGCGTCGGGGGTCGTGTGTTCGATTCCCACGTGGGACAACTATTTGTGCGACCCATAGATAGTTGCTTCGCATCTGGGTGTTTGTCCTCGTGCAATTTATGTTTGTAAAACGTCCTTACAACACAGGATAATGTTATCCTAAAGTGAGGACAATGTTTTTTTAAAAAAACAAATAGAATAGAAATAGAAATCTACTTGTTTAGACACTGTGTCTGCCTGTCATCTAAGGGATACTTCGGCCAGGGCCGGGGCGGCATCGGAGGCAGCTGAAGTAAGTCGCAAAATATGAGTCTCCAAGTTTAGATTATGTATTTGTGCCATTTGCTGTTGAAACTTTGGGTTCGTGGGGTCCCCATACATCGAAGTTTTTACGTACTAGTCTTAGCCCCGCGGCTGTTGACAAGAGAGCTGGTTCTTTTCTCGCTCAAAGGTTAAGCATAACTATTCAGCGAGGAAATGCAGCTAGCGTACTTGACACCTTGAATTAGGTTGATTAGATAATATGTAATTATAGATGTAAATGTGGAATAAATAAATTGTATAATTTCACCTTCTACATAGTCAGAAATTCAGTACACGAGAATTTTTCAACATATAAAATACCAAGACTTTTGTAAAAACTGTTTATTGTACTGGTAAAATAACTAACAAAGTTTTATTATTCTCTTCGTCATTTTCTTTTGTCATGTTCTAGATTGTCATCTTCTCATAAAACCTCTTGTCCACGTATGTGCTACTCACCGCTGTCTCTCTTCGGCGGGGTTTTGGTTGTAGGAGTAAGGGGAACGGTTGACATGCATATCCCACAACCGCGTCTGGCCGAAAAACAATCGAGCGGGCACCATGCTCTCGTGGGCGCGGACTATGCTCTGGAAATGGAATGATTTAAATTAACTGCCCTTGTTTGTAACCGGAAGACGTAGCGTCGGAAGGGCTCCCTCTAGGTGGACCGACGACATCGTAAGAGTCGCGGGGAACCGGTGGATGCAAATGGTAAAGTGTCGTTCGTTGTGGCCTTCTACGGGGGAGGCTTATGTTCAACGGACGTCTTGCGGCTGATGATGATGCGGATGTTGATTGTAACAACAACTAAATATATTCTAACTTCACTAAAATTTAAATATAAAATAATATACGCTATAAATACTGCCCATAGTTTATAATCATAAGCATTGTTTGATTTCAGAATTTTCAAGTCATCTTATCTAAATGTAGCTTCATATCGTTTCATTTTATAATCCGTAGTCATTCAAAGTGTGTTTGCGTGTGTGTGCAATAAATACTTATGAAAATTGATAAAGCAGTTTCTGAGATTAGCCCAAATAAATCGCAAACCCAGCTTGGTACATGACTTTATAATACATAATTGTATGTAATGATGATATTTGTGAATTTATAAAGTTGGAAGTTATCAGTGCTATCATTGACCTACTTATTACATGTTTTATAAAACTTTACAACACCATAATTTGACTGATAGGAGTTTTCTGCCCGCCTTTTGTGTTATTGATTTGCAAGTAAACACCACATGGGAAAGTGTTGCTTCCCATGTGGTGATCAAAATCGATTCACCCAGTCGAAAGTTCTGAGGTAACAAACATAAAGTAAATACAGTCGAATTGAGAACCTCCGTTTTTGAAGTCGGTTAAAAAGTAGCAGGGAATAGTTTACCACGCGACACCACTGCGGATTGGCACGCATCACATGTCTTCGAGATATTTATTTATTTCGAAAATATTCAGGATTCTTCTCGACATTTTTCTTTACATGTGTGCGAGTGATAAATGACGTGATAATGAATCCTAAAATTGCATTTTAATTGGCTAAGCACTGGGATTTGAACTCTGGTAGCTCAAGCATACTAAAATAAAAGCGAGCACCCGGACACTGAGCCATGGCGGCTCCCAGGGTATGCTTCTATAAAAAGACTTTGACGCGATAACCAAACAATGGTGATGTGGGTGGTGATGTATATGGTGATGTGGATGGTGATGTGGATGGTGATGTTTTTTTATGTGATAAGTTGCCAAACGAGCAGACGATTCAATTGATGTTAAGTGAATAAAGCCGCCCATGGACATCTGCTATACCCGTGAGTTGCAGATGCGTTGACAACCTTTTGAAAAATTTAGTTAGTGATAATTTAGTGATTTAGTTGGTGTAAAATCACCTAAAACGATCAGAGCTCACCCTGGTGATTCCAGCCACGTAGGCGTTGAAGGTCTCCTCGGAGAAGCCGAGGATGGTGATGTCCAGGAGGAAGTGGACGAGGTGACCACCGGGCGCGCTGTGCGTGTGAGTCCCCGTGAGGATCACATTGCGCAGGGTATACATATCGCCATACAACTCCTTGAGATTCTTCACCACCTGATGAAACAGATATTTGACCAGCCCCCTTGTACAAATTTATCTGAAAATATATTTAGTCAAAAAATCCACGCTAGGCCCCAAAAATAACGGGTTATATCGGATAGAAAGATTACGATATCTTCCAAAGATGTTTAAATAGATCGCTCGTTTAAATAGTAATAGGAAGATTGCTATTGCTATCTTTATTACCGTGGCATTAGGTCATAATGACACGGTTACTTCTGGCTGACATTATTTTTTTTTTTATTTATGGGAAGCAAAATCTTTGTACCCTTTCTTACGAAAATTGCGCTGACAGAGGAGTATGACATTTCCCACACTTATCCTTACTAATATTATAAACGCGAAAGTTTGTATGTATGGATGGATGTTTGTTACTCTTTCACGCAAATACTACTGAATGGAATTTAATGAAACTTTACAATAATATAGCTTATACACCCGAATAAGACGTAGGCTATAATTTATATACATGTTTTTATGTATATATGTTTTTCTGTCTGAACGTTACGCCTTCAGCCTATTCTACGCAGACTTAGGTGCGGGCAGCAGCTAGTAGTTTATATATATAAGGATTGCATAATGCTTATATTTTTTTTAAATTACATATGCGCAAAAATACATCTAACCAATAAAAAAACAATACATACTCTATCGTGTATAATTAATTACGGTCGAATTTCGACCACTAGGCGGCCACTGGTATTTATTTATAGCCCACCTCTCGCCTGACCGCAATGCCGATCGCCATCACGTCTGCCGTCACCAGAACCACCCTGGTGTCACCCTTCGCGAAGATGAACGCCCTGGAAAACTGGCGGAGGTGGATACCACGCCCGGTTTGCCCGAACTCCGCGTAGCCCATCTGATGGATAGAAGAGAAGTTAGAAAAGAAAAAAATAATCCTTATATTTTTCTGTAAGAATATGGCAAACTAGCTGACGGTTCAAGTGGTAAGTGCAAAAACCGTAGCGGTGCAGATGCGTTGCCACCTTTAAACCAAGTGGGCAACGATTACCTCACTCACCAGACGAAAGGCATAAGTATATTCGTTAGATTTTATTAAACAAAATAACTTATATGTTATATCTAAGGCATAAACGTAGTTACGTTAAAAACGTACCATATAACTACTAAAGTTAAAGACCACACTTAAATTTATTAAAAAAAATCTATTCGTACAATCATAAAATACAGTTTTACCTAATGTGATATATTCTCAAAAATCAAGAAAATATGGTCTAGGTACTAAAAGTATGTCAAATAGTGCATCTTTGTTTATTTTTTCACTTTACGAAAACATTTACCACTTCAAACGTGTATTATCAAAAATTCACTTACAAAATTGAACTCCACGCACGGCCCAGTCATATCAGCTATGCCGACACCGGCCTCGTATATCATTTCTCTGTCGTTTGGGGCGTCTGTGGTCGTAGTGATGTCGGGAAAAGTGGTCGTAGTGGTGTACGCGGTGGTCGACGTCGGGCCCTCCGTTGTGGTCGAGTCGTCCGACTCGTTCACCATCACGACTATCAGAGCGGTCATACCGCCCACGACACCCAGCACGACGATTGGTATGATAATTTTGCCAGCCAACGGCACCATTTTCTGCAGTAACAAATAACTGGGCGATAAAAATCAGTTAGTTTACATTAGTCTCCCATCTTTACATCCAAATGCGTTCAACATGTTTTTTTTATGTGAAAATGTGGCAAGCGTGCTGGCGGTTTTTATTTCTTTTTTTAATTCAAAAACTGGCTAGGACTTGACTGCCATCCCACCTGATGGTAAGTGGCGATGCAGCCGTTGACGGTAAGCGCGCTAGCTCAGTAAAAACCTATTCACTCTTGCCTTGAAGACGCCAAGTTCGCCTGATGTTAAGTAATGACCGCCTCCCATTGACATCTTCAACACCCGTATGGTTGAAGATGCGCTGTCAACTTTCAAGAAAGTGGGCCCCGGCTACCTTACTCACCAGACGAAATAGAACCGGCGTGTGCTCGGTGGTTCTGTGAGGTCGCGGTAGCTACTCGGACGGACCTGCCCGCTGGTGCAACAGAGAAGACTGTTGCGTGACCCTACTACAGTTATTCTCTCAATGACCATTAATACAATTTTTCAATTTTGCCGTCCAATTTTTTAAAGATATAAGTAGGTATCTTTACTAAATTTTGTAAATTTGTTAATATTATAGGAATTTTGAGGTTATTTTTTATATGAAGAGAGATCTTTGCTAACTACCTAAGAGAAAAGAGAAAAAAGAAGAGAGAAGAAAATAAACATTTTTCACCATATGAAAGGTGCATTATACTAGATCGATTATATGTGTCTGTGTCAGTTCCTAAGATATTAGCTTTGTCACCGAAGGTCGTAAACCACTGTCCCAGATCGCTGTTCATGAAGAGAGTTTTTACTGCACAGGGTTATTTTATCCTCCAGTTTTTAATAATAAAACCGTTTAAAAACTTTTAAGTTAAACGGTTTTATTTTATGTGCACTGAAAACTACAATATTGTATTGTCATCCAAATTAAATGTGTGTACCAAATTTCAGATCAATGTGACAACGGGAAGGTGCTTAAATTTCAATTTCTAATTTTGACCCAAATAAATAAACAAAAAATTCCGTACGGGTTGAGCTAAATAAAACCGTTTAATAATAAAAATGGATATAATACGTTTTTAATTCAATTTTTTTGGGCGATGGGTGATTTTTTTAAAGAAACCTGACTGTTTTTTTATTTTATAATCGCGTTTTTCTTGTCATTCATATCAGAATACCCAATTTTAAATTTGCACTATATCTAGTTTTGTCATTTCAATTGAACAATGTAACTGGACTTCTTAAAACGTGTTATTATTATAAATGAATAAATTGGAAAAACTTCATTAATCTGGTACACTCAAACAAAGATCGTATGATGCTTCACTTTTGATATTCGTGGCGCGGTGTCCTGTCATTCTACCAGTCCGTGAGTCAAATTCGTTGCTTCATCGATAAATATATCTGTAAATAACGTATAGGTATAATTCGTTCATTTGCCATCGGATTTTAAAATACGTTTAGTGCCATCTTTTTTTCTATGGAAAAGGGAGGCAAACGAGCAAGGATCTCTGGATGGTAAGCGATTAGAACCGCCCATGGACGATTGCAATATCGGGGGAGTCACAATCGCGTTACCGGCCGTAGAAGTAGGCTCATCTCTTGAAAGTCCATGTCAATTCAGTCTGGAAATACCGCTGAAGTCAACTGGTACCACAAAATCCATCTAATCTCCCAATCATTATTGGAACTCAAGTTTTGTAAATTTTAAAATTGATGACATTTACGTCAACAACGTCCCGCCAAACGTGGAATTTGATAGCCATGTTGAGTCCCAGCTGTATTTTTTTATGTGAGGAAGTGGCAAACGAGCTGGCGGTTCACCGGATGTCAAGTGATAACCACCGCCCATGAACAGTTGCAACACCCGTAGGCTTGCAGATGCGTTGCCACCTCTTAATAATGTGGGCTCCGGCTACCTCACTCACCAGACGAAACGCAGAACTGGAACACTTCTACTTTACGCCGGTCTACTGTGAGGTCGTGGTACTGACCTGGATGGACCTGCCCATTCTTGCAACAGCGAACACTGTTGCGTGGTCCTTCCACCGTTTTATCTATTTTCACCCAATAATGGGTCTTCTTTAAATAGGTTTCTTTGGGGCCACTCAACAGTCTGCTGTTGAATGAATAGGCAACCTACTCCGGAGTAGAATCTTGACCTCACAGAAGACCGGCGTGGTGTTTTATACTTCTGCTTTTCGTCTGCTGAGTAAACGGAGGCCCCTCTATTGATAGGTGGCAACATCTGCACTCCTACGGGCGTGTCATGGGCGCATGATGCAGGTGTCCACGGGCGGCTATCAATTAACAATTAATCAATCAAGTAACATCAGGTGAACCGCCAGCTCGTTTGACATTTTCTGATATTTATTTGTCGACAGGAGTAATCCTGTGTATTTTTTTAACAACTTGCAGAACGGATTACCAAAATCCGTTTATACTGGATGTTTACCTCATAATAACTCACTTATTAACAAACGTTAACCCAATCCGATCATTGGTGTGAGCTGTGAATAGATAAGTCACTCAGTCAGGGTTCCTCTTATTTTAAAACATGAATTATCATCAGCAATTATGTAGATGCTTCTACTATCACAAATCAGTTTGTTTCGCTAGTGATAAGATAGCCTACATTAACTCTTCTAGTCTTACTACACCTAAATAGAGAAGTTGGAATATTGCATACGTTGTTCTTTCAATTGGTCATTCCAATGAATTTTTATATAAACTAGTTTATAACGATATATAGTCTACGCACCGACCTCGGCGCACCCGGACGATGAAGTGGAAGCTATGTATGAGGACATCAGTAGGGCCATACATACTTCCAAAACATACTTTACTGTTGTCATGGGAGATTTTAACGCGTAACTAGGCAGGAGAGGCGATGATGAGTTGAGAGTGGGGAAATTTGGATATGGGAGCAGAAATCCAAGGGGCCAGAAGTTGGCTGACTTTCTGGAGAGGGAGGAACTCTTTATGATGAACTCCTTCTTCAAGAAGCAGCCTCATAGGAAATGGAATTGGATGAGTCCCGACGGCTGCACAAAAAATGAGATTGACTTCATTTTGTCGACAAAGAGACGGATATTTAATGATGTCTCCGTGATACACAGGGTGAAAACCGGGAGTGATCACAGAATGGTTAGAGGCACATTGAATATTAATGTCCACCTAGAAAGGTCTCGCTTAATGAAGTCCACGCTCCGACCCACTGCAGCCCACATACAAAACCCCGAGAGCTTTCAACTCGAGCTCACAAATCGCTTCTCCATCCTGGAGGATTGCGTTTCTGTGGACGAGGTCAACAACAGGCTGGTAGAAACTGTCCACGTGGTAGGGAAAGCTTTCTTTAGACCCCGCCGGAAAGATAGACCTCAAAAATTATCAGATCATACCCTCGACCTTATGGCGGAGAGACGCTCAATGACGCTGCAGACTTCCGAGGACGCTGAAGCATATCGGCAGCTCAATAGACGGATTTATCAGTCCTTGCGACACGATATCCGTAAATTTAATACTAATCGTATTAAAGATACGATAGAGCAGAATAAGGGCTCCAAAGTGTTCGCAAGAGACTTTTCTATTGGGCAGAGCCAGTTGACGAAGCTGAAGACGGAAGACGGCAGTGTAGCATCTACCAAGTCAGAGGTACTGAGAGAGATCGAAAGGTTTTACGGACAGTAATATACCTCCAGAGCCAAGCCTGTTGACGATTTGGTTAAAGATCCAAGAGCCAAACTAACTCGACACTATACAGAAGATATCGCGGACATCAGCCTGTTCGAGATCAGGATGGCCCTCAAGCAGCTCAAGAACAACAAGGCGGCGGGTGAGGACGGAATTACATCAGAGCTTCTGAAAGCGGGTGGAACACCGGTACTGAAAGTCCTTCAGAAGCTCTTCAATTCCGTCCTGTTCCAGGGTACTACGCTCAGAACATGGAACGGAAGCGTGGTGGTCCTCTTGTTCAAGAAAGGTGACAAAATCTTGCTGAAGAACTACAGGCCCATCTCGCTTCTGAGCCATGTTTATAAGCTGTTTTCGAGGGTGATCACGAATCGTCTCGCACGCAGGTTTGATGACTTCCAGCCTCCCGAAAAAGCCGGTTTCCGTAAAGGCTATAGTACCATAGACCACATTCATACGCTGCGGCAAATTATACAGAAGACTGAGGAGTATAATTTGCCACTATGCTTAGCGTTTGTGGACTATGAGAAAGCCTTCGATTCGATCGAGACTTGGGCAGTGCTGCAGTCTCTTCAAAGGTGCCAAATTGACTATTGGTACATCGAAGTGTTGAAGTGATTGTATAAAAACGCCACCATGTCGGTCCGAGTACAGGATCAGAGCACAGAGGCTATTCCGTTGCAGAGGGGAGTGAGGCAAGGAGATGTTATCTCTCCGAAACTCTTTACCAATGCAATGGAAGACGCCTTCAAGCTCCTGGATTGGAAAGGATGTGGCATCAATATCAACGGCGAATACATCACTCACCTTCGGTTTGCCGATGACATCGTAGTCATGGCAAAGTCTTTGGAGGAGCTCAGCACAATGCTCGAAGACCTCAATAGAGTCTCCCAGCGGGTGGGCCTGAAAATGAACATGGAAAAGACCAAAATCATGTCAAATGTCCATGTGACGCCCACCCCCGTACTGTTGGGAGGCTCGTCACTCGAAGTTGTTGATAGCTATGTCTATCTGGGACAAATGGTCCAACAAGGCAAATCCAACTTCGAGAAGGAGGTCAATCGACGAATCCAGCTCAGCCGAGCGTTCGGGAAATTGCGCAGCGTCTTTACGTCCAAAATACCTCAGTCCTTAAAGACGAAAGTCTTTAACCAGTGCGTGCTACCAGCGATGACCTACGGTGCCGAGACGTGGTCTCTCACTATGGGCCTCATAAGGAAGCTCGCGGTCGCACAGCGCGCTATGGAAAGGGTAATGCTTGGGGTTTCTCTACGAGATCGAATCAGAAATGAGGAGATCCGTAGAAGAACTAGAGTTACCGACATAGCAGAGCGAGTCAGCAGGCTGAAGTGGCAGTGGGCAGGGCACATAGCTCGAAGAACCGATGGCCGTTGGGGCAAAAAGGTTCTCGAGTGGACACCACGTGACGGCAAACGCAGCATAGGAAGGCCTCCCACAAGGTGAACGGACGACCTAGCCAAGATCGCAGGGACGCGTTGGATGCAGGTCGCTAACGACCGGTCGAAGTGGAAGTCAATGGGGGAGGCCTATGTTCAGCAGTGGACGTCCTACGGCTGATATGATGATGATGATCCAAAATATATCTCCTTCAGTTCAATATCTGTCACATGCACTAATATATGTCGTGAAATGTAAAGCGGAACAATTTTAAAAGCCGCGCAATGTGCTTCATCTATGTTATTAAACATCGAATTACAGAGTAATCCACACTGAATTGACATCACACACGCTAAACATGAAAGCAATAATTATCAGTTGCATATGCATTGCGAATATGGGAAGGTGTTGGCCGCGGCTAGTGAGGTAACACGAGATGAAACGCAAAAGAATAATACTCAAGCCAGTCGTCTGCTTGCACAATAGGAAAGTGTTCGCCGCGGCTACCTTACGCACCAGATGAAACGCAAAAGAATAATACTTTCGCCAGTTCGGAGTACTAAGCAGTAGTGGCTTAGTGTAAGCAGAGGAGTGGCGAAGTGCATGAAAGAGAAAAGTTGCGTCGCGGACTTACCACAATTATGCATACCATCAACATTAATCTTCACAGATTCAACTTATAGATAATCTCGGAAATTGCGAGGCTACGTCATTAGTTTTTACTCGCCAAAGATTTGTACAAACATGCATTTATATGTAAGTATACCCGACTTAGTAAACATTAGTTTAAAATTAATACACAAAAATTTTCTTTTCCATAATAACTCATTACATTACACATATTTTCAACATGCAAAACGATTATAAAGATGGGTGAAGCAACTTTCAGCAGGCATTCCCGTTTGATTATGTACCTATTTAAATGTATTAACGAGTATATAAATTCACGCGTACCTGATCGTAAATCGGAAACCTTTCAAAAAAGTTCGAAGTCAAACCCAGATCCAGCTGATAAAGAGAATGTAAACTGAATTTATGACATAATTATTATTGATACTTATTATTCCAAGACACCCTGAGTACTAATAGCAACTCTAAAGGTTAAAATATCACTAAGCCCATTCGAAAACAAACATATAATCCAGTAGTTTTAATGATAATGCCTTTTTAGGGGTCCGTGCCCATTAATAAGACTCCGCTGTCTATCTGTCTGCTTGTCAGTCCGTATGTCATCAGGCTGTATCTCATGAACCGTGATAGTTAGACAGTTGAAATTTTCACAGGTGATGTATTTCTGTTTCCGCTATAACAACAAATACAAAAAAACAGAATTAAAATCATATTCAAGTGGGGCTCCCATACAACAGACAGGAACCGTTTGTGCGCGAGTCCTCGTCTATCACTTGCGCTCGTCGGGTTTTTTATTTATCTAATCGGAATTATCGATATAATCGTCCATTTATTTTTTTATCGTTGATGCACCAGAAAAAATATTTATGCTTCTTCTCTCGATTTGTTATCAATAAATTAATTTGATAAAAGATAAAACATCGCTTTGGTGAGGCTAAAATAGTGATTAGGTATACCAGTCTTTATTACGATTAAAGAAAAATCCCCAGTAACAAAATCAAAGGGGTTATATTCCTGAATAAATTTCATTCATTTAAAAATTCACTGGTAGATTATATATATATATATAAGATAATATTTTACAGTGGTTTGGATGACACAGCAATCAAAACACAATTGAGTTTCTCTGTAAGTAAAGAAACGACATTTAATGTTATTAATCACAATGTCGATTCCTAAATCACTATTTTACATTAAGTATTTTTGTAATAAAATTATTTTCATGAATTGGGTCATATGACAGCTTAATTCTTTTTCTGTTATAATCCGGCGTCAACCATAGTTTTTAAAATAAATTTTATTAGAGGCCGATGCGTGAAAATATTTAAATTAAAGAAATTATTTAAATAAAAGAAAACAATATTTTTCTTTACATACATATAAGGAGCCGTGATAGCTTAGTGTACGGGCGCTCGTTTTTAATCCATTATACTCGAGCAACCTGATAATTTCGTAACGCCAATCCATGCGAAGACCGTGTCCCATCTTCGGTCAAAGTGTGTGGAATCTATCTGGTACAAAGTTTACTGGCGCCTAAATGGTCGTGTAATATTTTTTGTACTTAACTCATACCACTCCCTAAGCTCGCCCGAATCTGCTGGTAGGTGGTCTTACCCTTTTTTATATGAAAAGTTGCCAAGCGAGCAGACGGTTCACCTGATGTTAAGTGAATACCGCCGCCCATGGACATCAGCTACACCCGAGTGTTGAAGATGCTTTGACAACCTTTTGAAAATTGGGCCACGGCTACCTAACTCAACAGACGAAACGCGAAAGTATTGTACTTCCACTTTGCGCCGGTCTTCTGTGAGGCCGTGGTACTTACCCGGACGAGCCTGCCCATTCGTGCAACAGCCGGCGCTGCTGCGTGGCCCTACCACAGTAAAATCTTATCTTCCTCAATCTTAAATCGCACAGCACTGATGTCATCTTCAGACGTCGCTTTTGAAGGACGTCTCTTATACAGATCGTTACTGAGATTGCTGCGCCCGTAAAGCAATCGAAGTTTATCATAGCTTTGCTGTTTAGTAAGAGCACGACGATTTGAGGTGTAATAAGACTTTTGAAATTGCCGCCAATTCTCAAAAAAAAATTACAAATTAAGGCACTATATCAAATTAGGTTAAAAAAGAGTTCTATAGTCAAAATTTAAAAGAAGTTTTCGTTGGCAATACCTCTAACTGGCCAGTTCTCATCTATATTGCGTCACTCTGGTATACCCGGGCCTTTGCCCAGCCGTGGGACATATATCGGCTGTAACTTTACTGTTTTTTACTGCTTAATAAAACGCGATTGATTGAGTATAACACTTCAAATCACGTCGATAGTGTAACTAATGGCTTTTCCATCATTTACAAAGTGTCAAACATTTTAAATACATGTCTACTATCTTAAATAATACACTTTAGTTATTAATTAATTAGTGTCTATTCCGCTTCGAGATCCGAGTGAAGCTGCTGGCATAAGTAACTCATGGATATAATAATGGTATAAATAACCAAAACATTGGTGCAATATCCTAATGAAGAAACCGGCACATAGCTGCCAATACTAAGCCATTGTGTAAAAATAATGGAGGAAATAAAAGCTTAGTTGCTATTTGTAACTGAATTACTTTTTATTTACATAATTGTAATATCAAGAACATATTTATTTTACAGAAAAGAATTGATAAATTAAAAGATGATGGTGTAGATATGTATTTTAATCGCTTATACTATTAACAGAATAAGAATAAAAAAAATTATCGGCAACTTCTGCGCAGATCGGACAGAAAATTAATAATTTAAACACCAACGCCACATTCCATGCCTTTTATTAAAATAAAGAAACAACACGATAAATCCATGAAAATAGTTTAATTTAGGATTCATATTAAATTTAATTACCGTCTTAAAATCGATGGGGAAAAGTATTGTATGCAAAATACATCGACGCATACATCCACTTTGTTATTACGTCGGGGTTCAAACCCGCGACCTTCCATATGAATAACTGCAATATTCACTAGCGGACCACACCAACACGATCTACAATTTAATATCTATACTAAACTACGTATTAATTCTAATTTATATGAGTTTGTAAAACGTCGTAATTATAATTAAACTAAATTTAATCTATGATTTAACTCTTTTACGAGGTAATGGCTGCTCTCAGGTGTTTCGGTTAGCAGTTAAATATCTTCAAAAGTATATTTATTACTAAAGAATCGATTGAAAAGTGTGCGGTAATACCTCTGTACATAGGCCTTTGCCCAGTAGTGGGACATTATAGTGGGACACTTACCTACTATTCATTAGGTTAGTTCATTCGCAAAGATTTACTTCAAAGATTTATTGATAACACTCCGATTGACACGCAATTTAATTTAATGCCAGTTAAGTGCTAATTGAAATCTCTGCGAGCGACTTTGGACCGTTTATATCTAAGAAATCTAACTATAAGCAAGCGATCGACTAGTGAACGTTTCTGATCTTAGGCTTTTTTTTAATTTAATTTTTTATATACTGAGTACTTAAAACATAATATTATTTTGATACTTAATTACGTACTAAGTTCTACATAATTATATCACAAAATACAAATTTCTCATTCTGAAAGGCGAACGAAAATGTTTCACGTAAATTGAAACGTGACAAAATTTATTTTTTTCTAATTCAGTTTGCCGTACTCAGAGACCGCCCGTAGTTAGCATCAAATTCAATTCTCTTATAGATACTATACTTTAAAGATACGCATCTAATGACTTAGCTTAATTGCCGTCTCTGAGTGCAGCAGCGTGTCACAAGAATAGTCTGCCAAAAGGGTTGTTAAGCTCTTTGAATTGATCATTCTGATCAATTCAGAGAGTTTAACAATCCTTTTGACAACTCAAATGACACTTGAAAAGCGATTTGACAGGAGATTAGTTGACTTCTACGATAATCGGTGTTTCACGCAAGAAAAAAACATGCCTTAGAAGCGAGTTCAAAACTACCGATTGGAAAATCAGCGGGTGGCTTAGGAGACTTGGAAGCTGTCGCTGAATCCGTGGTAGGGGTAGATCCCGCCCAGGATGTATTTGTAGTCGCCGTAGTGGTGCAGCCGGTAAGTTCCGGGCTCCGTCCCCGCCGGGATCTCCCACTCGAGCAGCGCGTGGCTGGTGCCCATTATCTTCGAGCTGCGCTGCCATATGTACCTGCGGTTTCGTTTTCAATGAACTCACTGTTTCAGGGCTCTGCAACCGTAGCGTAAAACGGGACCCCTTATTACTAAGACTTCGCTGTCTACCTTTCTGTCTGTCTGTCTGTCTATCTTTCTATCTGTCTATCTGTCCGTCTTCCACCAGGCTGTATCTAATAAATCGAGATAGTTGGACGGTTGAAATTCTCAAAGACGATGTATTTCTGTTGACGCTATAACGAGAAATACTAAAAAACAGAACAAAAAATATTTTAGTGGGGCTCCCACACATTTTTTTGCCGTTTTAGTACTTAATGGTACAAAATCCTTTGTGCGCAAGTCCGACTCACACTTATAGTTATACTATCCGCGTGGTTGACAGAAAATGGGCCTAAAAGACATAAATAAATAATTAACATTTAGGACACAACGTACACTAGTCCCAAATAATAATACTAAGTAATGCTTGTACTATGGGCACTATATATAAATGATTAACATATTTAAACATCATTTTCTTTTGTAAATTAATACATGTTATAGAAATAAAATACGCAGACTTTGGAAAAACACATTATTCATCACACATTACTTTTCCAGTAGTGGGGATCGAACCCACAATTCGAACATTGTGTTAAAATATATCCCGAAATATTATTTATTTGGAAGGAGGTAAAAGAGAGGTGGTGGGATGGTTGTAGATAACGTTGCTTAAAAATATGTCCCAAAAATGATGTTTAATAATATAGAAGACGCATGTCCATACTACGCGGCGCTTTAAAATTGTTCCGCTTTAAAATATATGACATATTATATAAATGATTGTGACAGATGATATAGAACGTATGATACGAAAAGGTTATGTCCCCGAATATTTTGGAAGGAGGTTAGTGAGTGGTGGCGGGATGGTTGTACATAACGTTATATAAAAATATAGCTGGAAATATTTATTTGGAAGAAGATTAGTGGGAGATGGGGGGAGGGTGGTACATAGCGATATATAAAAATATGTTTCGAAATAATTATTAAGTATTAAGTTATTGAAAGGTGGTGGGATGGTTGTAGATAACATTATCCTTACTTATATTATAAAGGCGAATGTTTGTATGTATGGATGGATGTTTGTTACTCTTTCACGCAAAAACTACTTAATAGATTTTAATGAAACTTTACAATAATATAGCTTAATACATCAGAATAACACATAATTAATAAAGATAATGTGTGAATAATACAGAATTAATAAAAATAACGCTATAATTTATAAAGATATTGTGTGAATTGTCCAAAATATAGGTAATGATAAGTGTCAACTGAGTAGGAAAAAATTTAGCCTCCTGCGAGATTTTTTTTTGTGTTAAATAAAAATCTCAGTGATAGTTTCTTCTCCCTTTGGCCGCACGGCCAAAACCGCGGTTAATAGCTAGTGTAAAATATATCTCAAACATTTGGAAGGATGTTAGTGAGAGGCGGTGGGATGTTGGTGTGGTGGTGGGTCCTCACTTGGTCTCCCAGTCGGCGTCGGTGGCGACCACCACCCACGCGTCGTCCTCCTCCGACTGGAGCCTCTCGACGGCGGCGTACCAGCGACCGTGGCGCGCGTTGTTGCGCGGGTGGCCCGACACCTGCGGTTTTCGGTTCGAATCCCAAGTTTAAAACGGACGGCGGAGTTCGACAGAGCTTGGTAACACTCGATTTGCGGAGAGAACGTTCGAGAAATATATATGAGGTCTGCTCCATATCCCTACTTTACATTCGTAGTAAGTCAGTCAAACAACATCTTCCGATAAGGGCTATCAACCGTACTCATAATGTATAATTATTTATTGAGTACTGCATGTATGATTTTGTATTTGTTTTGGTATGCGTACGACGAAAAAATACACACTCTAATAATATATTTCTTTTAAGCTGTTACTTATATATCGTGTATTTTTTACTTCATCGATTAATACTGTACAATTACTTTTTGAAGTGTACTCTACTATCACACATCAGCCGACGAAACGCTGGCAACCCTGTTTGAGTGAGGTAACCCCCTTAAAGATTGACAAGGGCCCTTCTAAAGATCGACAAATTTTACGAGTATCGGCGGCGGCTGAAAAGCTATAAGATTAACCGCACTTCCCTATCGCTGTGACTAGTCACGTTCACACGTCACAGTTCATTGTCCGGGCGCTCGCTTTACTAACTATTGGTTACGTATACATCAATATGCCGTTAAATTATCATTAAATAGCAGCAATTTCTTTAAAAAAAAAATAAAAAAACTCACTATCTGATTAGGTATTAAAATGTGAGGATACGTGTTCAGCACATTTTAGAACAATACTACAAACTCTAGAGCCGTGATAGCTCAGTATGCGGGCGCTCGCCCTTAATTCAATACACCCGAGCAACCTGAGTTCGATCCCCGGTGACGGCACCAATTAAATTGTCAATTTGAAGTGCTGACTTATCACGCACCCAACGGTGAGGGAACATCGTGAGGAAAACTGCATATTTTCGGAACAAAAAAAAATTTGAAGATACGTGAAGTCCGCCAATCCGTAGTGGCGTCGCGTGGACTATGCCCTTATACCCTCTGTACCGACCTTCGCCCAGCAGTGGGACATTTTGTCGGTCTGTCACTTAACTTTTTTACTTTCGTCTGTGTGGGCAATCGTTCATTTAGATTTTAAACTGCTACAAGTTCATGAAAATACGAAGAATTTCGTCACCATCTCATAGCTCAGGTGAAAAATCGGGCGGATCCGAAGCCGGAAGTCCGCGCTTCGAGTCCGGATGATTATTTTTTTCCCTTTTTTTTTTCTTTGAAGTTCCTTCTTTTGTGAGAAAGAAAACTGAGCAAAGCTCTGTCATTCAGGCACTGGGACGTACGAAGGACGCTGCAAAGAAAAAAAACTGAGCAAAGCTCGATCATCCAGGCACTGGCACTTACGAAGGAGGCCAAAAAGATAAAAAACTGATCAAAGCTCGTTCATCCGGGCACTGGCACTAACGAAGGAAGCCTAAAAGATAAAAAACTGAGCAAAACTCGATCATCCAGGCACTGTCACTTACGAAGGAGGCCAAAAAGATAAAAAAAAACTGATCAAAGCTCGATCATCCGGGCACTGGCACTAAAGAAGGAGGCCAAAAAGATAAAAAAAAAAACTGATCAAAGCTCGATCATCCGGGCACTGGCACTAACGAAGGAGGCCAAAAAGATAAAAAACTGAGCAAAGCTCGATCATCCGGGCACTGGCACTAACGAAGGAGGCCAAAAAGATAAAAAAAAACTGATCAAAGCTCGATCATCCGGGCACTGGCACTAACGAAGGAGGCCAAAAAGATAAAAAAAATCAAAGCTCGTTCATCCGGGCACTGGCACTAACGAAGGAGGCCAAAAAGATAAAAAACTGAGCAAAGCTCGATCATCCGGGCACTGGCACTAACGAAGGAGGCCAAAAAGATAAAAAACTGAGCAAAGCTCGATCATCCGGGCACTGGCACTTACGAAGGACGCGGTCACGACGTCCCCGTAACTGTAGTACTTCTGCGGCTGCTGGACGCAGTCGCCGAACTCCTTGCCCCAGGGCGAGGCGTCCCAGAGCACGGGCGGCACCAGAGTGATCAGCTGGTCGCTGAAGTCCGGCGGACTGGGGCCTGGCTCCAGGTCCTCCCCCTGGTGTCACAACACATCACATAACATCTTTTATAAGGAGACTAGCGACCCGACCCGGCTTCGCACGGGTGTGTGTATTACACATATAAACCTTCCTCTTGAATCACTCTATCTAGTAAACCGCATCAAGATCCGTTGCTTAGTTCTAAAGATCTAAGCATATGTAGGGACAGACAGACAGCGGGACGACTTATGTGTGTTTTATACCATGTAGTGATGAATGTTGATTGTTGAGTGATATCCGCTGAACGTGGACAATTGGAACACCCGTAAGGTTGCAGATGCGCCCGAGCGGGGGTGTCTGTCGCTCAATATGGGATGAGGTCCCGTGCCAATTGCACCGGCACAGCACCATTAAGAAGGGGAGGCCCAAAAAGGCCGGTGTCGCGGAAGATTGCGTCCACGTGTTCCCGTGTCCCCGGCCGATGCGACAGAGACAGGTGCAACGTGGGTTTTTAGTTTGTACCCGTTAGGACTCCCACATATCCCTGCCACTCCCCCGATCCAGTGGCAGGGGAAAAATAAAGGATTTTTCCCATCGAAAACAGGGATTGCAGATTTTGATAAAGTGGCCCCGCAACAGTCGCCGCTGTTGCACGATTCGGCAGGTCCGATACTTCCGTGTTTCGTCTGGTGCCTGAGGTAGCCGGGGCCCATTTTTTTAAAAGTCGGACACGCATCTGCAACCCGTCAGGAGTTGTAACGTCCATGGGCGGCTTATCACTTAACATCAGATAATAGCTTGCCTACCCTTCACATAAGTAGCTAATATGTATGATAGAGTATTTTTGATAATATCATCACTTACTTTTGTCGGAAGACTCTGTGGCGAAGTGGCTAAACTTTGGCGCCGGGATAGTGGGTTCTATTCCAACATGAGACAAGTATTTGTGTGATCCTCAAATAACGATCCTGGATCTGGGTGTTTTCCCTAGTGGGGCTCAGTGGGGTCGTGTGGTCTATCCCCTACATAGAGGAGGTTTTGCCCAGCAGTGGGACATATAGGTTACTACTGGGCGTTTATTCTTAGAAACAGCTGAAATGCTGTGCCGAATCAAAGATAAAAGCTGGGTGGTGATTCATGATAAATGAAGGTAATCAAAGATAAAAGCTGAACTTACCGTCATCACAGCCTTGGTGAGCTCGACGTACTTATTGAGGTAGATGTCCAGAGTGTGGGGTCCGAAGATCGTAGACGCGGCTTCATATCTCTGCGCCTGTAGAGAACACACAGAATCTCGTAAGTCAGCGTTGCACTACAAATCCATCCTAAAGTAAGGGTAATATTCATTTAAAAACCAAAAAAATAATTAGCTTGATAAATTAGATTTTACTTTTATTAAATTCTAATCGTTTAAGCTAATATTGTTCAATTGGAAGTACATTTTATTTATTTTATACACTCTGTGATTACAGATCTGTGTTAATTTCTTTTCTGTGTATTTTTAGGATTAATTTCTATTTTTAGAGCGTTGGCAAAATGCCTAGGCAGGTTTTATACAGAAGTTTAAAGTGAAACAAAAAAACAGCAGTACCTGGTACTCTTCGGGGGTGGCGATGTAGTCGGAGTAGACGTTGGAGAGGCCGGCGAGCACCACTCTTCGGACGGAAGACGTGCTGGAGAGCAAGCGACGCAGCCGCCTGCCGGACATGGTGGTGAACTCACCAGGGACGGCTGCCACCAGCAGCCCACCTATACGCGCCACCGTGCAGGACACCACGTGCGGCTGCCACTCGTATGGGAACCTGGCCTAAACGCCATTCGTGGCAGTAGAGCCGATATCCAGGCAAATAGGTGAATTCAAAAAGAACGTACTTGACTGCTAGAGCGGTGCTAATATTTTTCTTTTTAGAAGATGGCAAGCGAACTAGCGGTTCATCTGATGATACTTGATAACCGCCGCCCATAGACATTTGCAACACCCGAAGCGTTGTATATATCGTTATAAATGACCCTCTTTATTAAAAGGTGGCAACGAACGCATATCGCTATCTGACTCAACGGACGAAACGCAGAAGTATGACAATTCCACTTCACGCCCGCTTCATCAAAAGCCTTTATTGGTAATTGTTAAAATTTTGTTAGTGGTGGTACTTACCCGGACGGACCTGCCCATTCGTGCAACAGCCGAAGCTGTTGAGTGGCCCTACCACAGTTAAACTACTACACACTACTGCACACTCACCCTCCCTGTCGCCAGCAGAATGGGCTTGGGCGCGTGGCATGCGATATCCTCTTCGGTGGGCTCTGCTATGAAGTCCCTGACGGCGTTCCACAGGGGGTTGGAGGTGGTGGTGCCCTGGGTGAAGTCGAACGCCCCAGGGCCGTCGGTAGTACCAGCCGCGAAGCTGTAACCCATCGCCGGGAGACACCCAGACACTTTCGCGCTCTGCGAAAGAACTCACACACTCGGTACAACTACTCACACACTCGGTACAAATTCTCACACAGTCCTATCTCACACACTCGGTACAAATACTCACACAGTCTTTCCCTACACTTTTGCGTTCTGCGGGCCGTACCAATACACTGACAATTTTCCCACAGTCTCTCGCTTCATAATTGAGGGTGTTCCCTCTGGTTAAGGATATGGTCTGTCGCCAACATTTTCTTGTCCATTGAATGAACGTGGGTCCATTCTTCATTATATACCCTTTGACTTCAGAATTAATTGAAGCCGCCTTGAAGTTGTTCAAGGGGACTATAATGTATTGTATACATACTTCATTGTCAAATAACGGTATAAAAAAAATAAAGAGGCCTGCTGGGTTTCATTAGCCAGATCTTCTCAGGTCAATGGTTTTTTTCTTTTCCGAACTGGCAGTAGTACTTTGAGGATGATATTTGTTGAGAGCGTTTCTTAATTAGAATTTCGGACCTTCTCCTTAGCAATGCCTAACTCGACCAATTCCCCATGTTTATGGTTTAATAACTATTGCTTACTATTTCTCCTTGCTGTGTTTGAATTTCAGAAATAATTAATAACAGCCTAATGTCTGGAAGTGAATCATTGTCGACGTATTTTCTGTTAATAATCTTATCACGCGAGAAAGACCCCGTCGTGTCCGCAATTAAATTGACTATAAACTGGTAAGCAGAGTATTTGTACCTATTTAATTTCCGCTTGAATTTCTATAAATTAAATTATATTATTATTTCATTGTCCACATTTTTATGCAGTTGGTTGCAATTTGTAGTTAGACACTGATGTCTAACTACAAATGAATGAATAAATGTTTGTTCAAACATTCAAAAGTCGCGCCAATCAATTAAATACTGCAGAGAGGAAATGACCAATAAGATCAAAAGTTCAAATAAAATTACCGAACGGGATTAAATCAACTGATGTCATCTGGCAATGACCAAAGAACGACGCTGTTATCGCGTCAGAATATAATAAAGCATTGATGATAATATCATTCTCAGCGTTACAATATTTTTTTCTTTAATTTGGTTATCTTTTGACAAATAAACGAGTATAACATGTCAAGTTTTTGCAAAAATCGACAAAATGTCTCTATTATTATACCGAATATGGTGTAAAATACTTTGGTCGACCGAAAACTATGCAATTTGTGAATATAACGAAAAAGAATCGTAAATATAACAAATTCATTGTTTGAGACCCAATTTGGGACATGTCTACACCGTTGGTCACTATTAATACCTTTTTCTTGATCAAGCAGTCAAGAACTAGTTCAATTTCTTTATTGAATATAGTCTTGTATTAAGCTCTTATTGAATTTCAACAAACCTACCACCGGTTCACTAATATAGACCCGTGCAGAGAAGAGCCGGCATGAAACTTTACGTTCTTTTTCTCTCTTTAATAAAAACACTATACATATAAAATTAGCAGCAGTCATTTCACACATCCTTGTCTTCCACCATTCCATTAGGGTAGCTTTTACAAATTAATATAAATTATTCACACTTATTTTTTTGTGGATGTCACAAATTTTATTGTATATGTCAATACACTTCCAAAGAAACGTTTTTCTGGTTGTAGCCAGTCTAAACCTCAATGCTTCAAGAGTGACAACGCGCCTAACGCGATGTGGTATGTTTTTCCCGTAGTGTCTCACGTAGACCCAAGTCATAGACAGTTCGTATCGCTTGCTTTTGTAATATTATCGCAGTCTAAACCGGATGCGAAACCCCAAAATAAAATTGCAGGTACTGTACATACATAGTTTATTGTGTACACATGATTTATAAATAACACTTCACAATCACTTTAGTAACAAAGGAATCGTCTGGATTATCGACAAAATCAGTTTAGAATTAACGCACGTAAATTATTGGTTTATTTAAGAGAATAGCAATTTCTTCAGCCATCAATCGTATATGACCGGCTGGCAGGAGCCGTCGATAGCTCTTGAATATCCCTTCATGCAGCCGCCCACAAAATCCGACCTGCTTACGTATTCTCTAACTACTGTATTCTTCCTGTTCTGTTCGCCGTTTATCGGCATCAGGCAGTAGCCCTTCTCCGTCATCACCAGACCCTCGGGGCAGCTGACGGGCACCACCACTTTATCCTTAATCGCCGCCGTGTCCGGGAACTGGACCCGGTGGACGGGATCTTGAGGGACAGTGCTCATAGGACCTGGGAAGATAATGTTAGGCAATCTAACAGTAGCAGACCCAAAATTTCCCGCTGCGGTCGTTTCAACAGTTGTCGTAGGCTCTTCACTAGATTGTGGTGTCGCATTGTTTGCATGTTCATCTCCCTCAGCGGCGTCTTTGATGTCGTCAGTTGGAGTATCAGGGGTCAAATCGTCTGTTTGATAATTGACCACGACGTTTATCTCAACGTTAACTTGCAACGGCGTATTTTCTCTTTCATTTGGTTTTGTTTCGTCAGGGTTTTTCGAAATTATTACTTCAGTGGATACATTCTGTCTGGTTGGGTTTCCAACGTAGGACGCATCACTATCAATCGTTATGAGTGGCTCTTTCGCATCTGATGTACGCGTTGCTTTCGAAACAGCGCTCTCAATGGCACCCGCGATTTTGTTCATTTCGCCCGCAGCTGCTTCTACAACATTCTTTATCGTGCCGCCTTCTATTTTGACGAAACATTCATTTTAAACGCAACTTACAATCCCGGGTCGCGGATTAACTGACGAATGGAGGTCGTCTTCGATAAGGAAGCAATAATAAGATGTTTGTTATCTGTTAGAGGAGGTTCGGGATAAACGGCAAATGAGTGCCGATTGTTAAATAAAAATTGATTTCATCGCGTATAGTTTAAATTCTCGACGTTACATGTAATTTATATGGTCTGACCTAATATTTTAGGTATTACATTAATTTGTTTTAGATAAAAAATAATATATAGAATAATCTAAATATTTGTTTACGATCTAAAATTCGGGCCCCTCCCGTCTAACAAACGCAATTAACTTTCGTTTAAATTAAACGCAATTAAATTCTCTTACCTTTCTTAGTTAAGCATACGTTTATAGAATTTTACATGAATTCATAAAGTTCCCCATCATTCATCTTTATTAAGATTATCAAAAAGATTAATTTATTAACTTGTGATTAGCAATTATGAAACTTTCAGAAGTTTTCTTCAGAACGATAATCTTTGTCAAGAATCAAGAGTAAAGTGACATTTTGCCTATGTTCACTCAGTGTAAACGTGAACTCTTCGTAGATAAATAATGATTCTTCCTGATCATTACTTCTGTTGAACTCATACAATCGATGATTAATTTCCAGATGACGTGTATTATGACTTTACTAAATATCAATCGTGTCAAATCGGAATTTTAAATCTTGTCCAAATCATCTTAAGGTTCTAGTTACCTTACTAAGAAAAATGATGTCATCATCTCTTTCTGGCACCACAATTACAAAATATATCCCGCAATAATCACAATGTAGGTATAATTTCCTCTATGTTTATTTATAATAATTAACTTATAAAAGCATATACAGAGGCTGCTTAGAGTTGAATTGTATCTTTGAATTCGTCAATTAATATTCTTATTATATACATTGCAGTCAATTTGTCAATTTTAATCAATTGAGTTTTTTTACAATGTGTATTATTCACATAAACACGACTCATTATTCTACGCCTTTCAAATCAGTACATTATAAGTATTAATGAGAATTAACCAAGGGTAATTATTTAAATATTTTTAGAATTAAATATCTTAAGATCATCCAACAAAAATAATTATATCTAGATATAAATAAATAATATAAATGATCTATCTTAAATAATATAAAATAAAAGTAAGTAAAATACCTAAAGAGCCGCGGAAACTGATTGCCTACACCTACTAAGCTATGATTCTCACTGTTACATTCTCCTAAGAACTGTTAAAAAAAAATATTTCAAAAATCACGAACGTCTACGGAAGAACTATTATAACATATTGATTTCTTGATTTTTGAATTATTGAAATCCGTACACTAGTCTCATTTAATATCTATTATAATGTGTTATGTAATAATTACAGATATAATACTTACAGTATTGAATGTATCAGTTATGGGGTCGTAAGGTGAAACTTCCTGCTTCGGCATCTCCACGAACTGATGGACTATGTTCAGAGGCCCAGTCAAGTCCTCGCCGGGCGCTTCTAGAACTTTCTGGAAGTGCAGAAGTGAGTCGTCGCATAACATTAGAGCAATGGAGAAATTTCGAAGCTGTGGTTTAATTCTTAAAAATAAAATCTGTCTAATATTTTTTTCGCTCTTTTTCAATGGAAATCATTTAAATTTAGCAATGAAATCAGTGTTTCATTGAACATTTCTAGGGAAATTATTCATAAAATAAGACAGATAACATAAAAAGATCCTACGAGTGGCAACCGCGCGTGCCACCCCTCGTTGCTCGAATAACCATCATGTGTTAGAAAGAGATGGAGAGAGTCGTTGCAAGTCATGTGAATTAATGAATGAATGAATATTTATGTAACTAATACAATAAAAATAAATAAATAAATAATTAACACACAACAAACACAGTTATATATTATGTTAACAATTAAAAGAATATCTATCTAAGACGAAATAGGTATGTACTCGGTACGATTTCCCGATTTTCAGTACATACCAAAAATTAAAATTATAAATAACAAACTAGACTAAGATTAACACAAAGCAGGTACATTAATTCAAGGACAATAACACAATACCTACTAATTACACACTACACATAGAAGCGGGGCATTACTCTTTTTCCTTACTTACGTGACGATTTCTACCAACTTACACCACTCGCAAACGGCGTTAAGGAACATCATTCCAAAAACGGTGATATTTTAACAAGTAATCTCCGTTTCAGATACTTATCATTTAATGCCATCTCATTAAAAAACTGGTGCCACTAAGAGCAGAGAATGTAAGAATGCGAAGCGAAAGGGCAATATCATATTAATTTTCAACAAATGTTGTCAACCGTAAAATATTGGGAAAATCAAGAAAAAGTGTTTCCACCGTTTTCATATTTATTTCTATTGGAGAATTTCCAATAGAAGACCCGTTTGTAACCGGTGGGGGTAAAGATGGAGCAGTTTCAAATTTGTTGTCTATATCCAATAGATGGATGGATGTTATCCGAGTTTACTGGCCGCAACTATAGAACAACCTAATGCCGGACGGGTTAGCTGTCAAGCTATTCTTAGAGAGAGAGGGAATAAGAAGGAGTGAGCTCACCATCGCAGAATAACTTAATGTCGGATTGGCTGTCAAGCTCTTCTTAGAGGGAGAGGGCAAAGAATTCGCGGGCTTACCATCGCAGAATACCTTAACGTCGGATGGGTTGGCTATTAAGCTGTTCTTAGAGGGAGAGGGAGAAGAATGCGCGGGCTCACCATCGCCGCGTCGAAGAGCTTGGTGGCGATGATCCTGGTGCTGTCGAACATGTCGCGGCCGGGGCCCGAGGCGAAGCAGCGCTCCTTGTGGCCGGCGCAGAGCGCGTGCTGGTTGTCGCAGGGGCGGCCGCTGCGCTCGCAGCGCGGGCCGCGCGTGTTCGGCGACACGTCGCCCAGGTTGCTCGACGCGAACGCGCACACGACGCCGCCCTAAGGTGACGGCCGCAAAGTCAGCGGAACGCGGTCAGGGGCGGCCTCGGAACGCGGCCGATGTTCAACGGTCAAACGGGCACGGGGGAAATCCCGTGACGCGACAGACGGTTCAACGGTCGAACGGTCAAACGCAAATTCGGAGTTGCAGAGGCCCGTAACGGGACCGACGTTCAACGGTCAAACGTTCAAATGGGCAGAGGCGCGTAACGCGACCGACGGTTAAACGGTTCTACGGTCAAACGCAAAGTGACAGTTACGAAGTCCCGCAACGCGACCGCCGGCTCAACAGTCAGACAGGCAGACACAAGGTCATAGTAGTAGTCTAACGGTCGAACGCATAGTCAGAGTTGCATAAGCTCGTAACCCCACAGTTCAACAGACAAACAGTCAAAAACAAAGTCAGAGTTATTACAGTCTCACGTTAACTTAGTTACGTTCAACGGGCAAACACAAAGTCAAATCGGCAGGATCTCGTAACGCGGCAGTTTCTGCTGCAGTTGTCAGAGCAAAATTCTTCTCTTTTTGACGTTAAATGATGATATCTCTCTTTTTGATGTTAAGTGATTATATACGCCGCCAATCAAAATTTGCAACACCCGTAGAATTGCAGATGCGTTGCCACCTTTACTTACTCATGCAGCTGGCGAAACGCAGAACTATATCAGTTCCACTTCACGTCGATAATCTGTAAGGTCGTGATACCTCCTCGGACGGATCTGCCAATTCGTGCAACAGCAAAGACTGATATATATATATATATACTGCTACCACAGATATAATTTAGCTTACCTTCCCAGGCAAGGTGTTGTCCCCGTTCAACGCCTTCTCCATCAGTATTGAGGCGTAGCCGACGTTATCTGAAGATATGAGGCGATTGGTGTTGTTCATGCTGGTGGGATGGACCGCGAACCAGTTGATGACTCCGATCACCTTGTTCTGTTGGCTGAGGAAGCGGACCTGAGCGAGGGTCTTGTCCACGTCGTATTTGTACCTGGAAATTGTTAAGTTTGCATCTTTGATTATCAATTAAACGTTATCATCATCATGTTAACCAACAGAGACTGCATCTGTGTTCATCATTTTGCAACTGATTTTGAAATCACTTCTGTTCCTTTACTTTCAGCTCGAAGCTGAAACTTCAGCTGTGTTTAAAGCTGCAAAAGCTGGATGGGAATACACCGTGACCCCGGTTTCCTGTCGGCCCACTCCTAGGATGCCTGATGTTGTGTGCTGTGCCACCACCCACATCAGTGTCATATATGGTATACATAACAGTGGTAGGGCCACGCAGCAGCCTCGGCTGTTGCACGAACGGGCAGGCCCGTCCGGGTAAGTACCACGACCTCACAGAAGACCAGCGTAAAGTGGAAGTATGACAAATACTGTCGCGTTTCGTCTGGTGAGTCCAATTTTCAAAAGGTTGTCAACGCATCCGTAACCCTCGGGTGTGGCAGATGTCCATAGGCGGCGGTATTCGCTTAACATCAGGTGAACCGTCTGCTCGTTTGACAACTTTTCGCATAAAAAAAAATAAAAAAAAAATATTTCCTTACCTGGCCCTCTCTTCCGGCGGGTTCAACAAGTACGAGGTTGGGGATCTGTTTATGTTGGCGTCCAGCAACTCCGCCTCGCCATATTCCATACGCGCCGGCTTCAGATTGTTATGTGCTATGAAGATGCTCTGGGGGTAATGCGATATAACAAAGTATATTAGTTTATTTGCTAAAAAAAAAGTAAAGTAACAGCCTATACATGTCCCACTGCTGAGCTAGTAGGTGATAAGTCAGCACCTTATGCATATTAACGATTTCATTGGTGCCGGCACTATATTATATTAAAGGGGAGCGTTTGCAAACTGAGCTATAACGGCGCTCTATACACATACACTGCTAACTGGGACCCGAGAATATGAGTTTCAATATTCGATCTACAGACAGATTGTGTTCCTCGAGTTCCTTGATAAAATTTCGACGTGAGTATTATGTACCTGATATCAAATACTTATGGCTTGTAACAAAATCTATCTGCAGATAGAATATTGAAACCGGCGGTAAATGCACCTTAAGTATGCCGGCGATGTACGCGATGTAGGTCTCCTTCACGAACCCCAGGATCGGGAGGTCGAAGAGGAAGTCCATCAGGAAACCGCCGGGCGTCGAGTGGGTGTGGGTGCCGCTCAGTATGACGTTGTTTTCGTTGTAGAGGTCACCGAAGCGCTTCTGCAGCCGCTTTATCACCTGGTAATTGAGAATGATACAGAATAGGCAACTCTCTCTCACAAGATGACTCGATGGCACCGTTTCCAAGCTATTGGCCTCAGCTTCGAGGGTCGTGGTTCTGATTCCCACACGGAACAATATTTGTGTGAGCCCACAAATGATTGTCTCTGATCTGGGTAAAAGAAGCCGAAATAAGTATCACCACAAAAAAGCTTTTTGGTCTTTTCCTGTTATTATCACAAAAGGGCACCATCGCTCGCAGTACAATTAAACTTTTTTTTAATGTGAGAGTTGCTAAGCGTGCAGATGGTTCACCTGATGTTAAGTGAACACCGCCGCCCATGGACATCTGCTACACCCGAGGGTTGCAGATGCGTTGACAACCTTTTGACATTTAAACTTGAAATAAATACCTCCTTCCTGACCCCGTTGCCCATCATGGCAGCGTCCACGGAGACGAAGACCATCCTGGTGCTCCTGCTGCTGCCGTCGTCGACCAGGACGAACGCGCGCGCGAACTGGCGCAGGTGTATTCCTTGACCACTCTGCTCGAAGTTCGCGTAGCCCATCTGCAAATCGTGATGTTGTGAACGCGCTCTCACTGTCAAAGAATGGCATTAAAAAGAAACCGGCCAAGGACTCGCACACGAGGGGCTCCGTGCCATTTTTCAGCCAGTTATGTATAAAAATCACCAGTACCAGTTATCTATATAAACGGCAAAAAAAATCATTTCTGTTGTATAGGAGCCCTGCTTAAATATATTTTTATTCTGTTTTTCAGTATTCGTTGTTATGGCGGTAACAGAAATACATCATCTGTGAAAATTTCAAATGTCTAACTATCACGGTTCGTGAGATACAGCCTGGTGACGGACGGACAGACGGGCAGACAGGCAGACAGACACACGGACAGACAGCGGAGTTTTAGTAATACGGGACCCTATTTATTTAACCTTTAAGTACGGGACCCTAAATATGACCCGCTGAGTTTCTTTCGCCAGTTCTTCTCAGGTCTGTGGCTTTTTTGAACCGGTGATAATATTTTGACAATCAATAAATGAGTGTAATGCTCGTATGTTATCCGTTACCGACCATGCAACAGTAGTGGCATCACAGTAATAAAGAATTAAAGAAGACATTTCCAATGCTCGTATGTTAAATAAAGATATTTGAATTTGGAACCACAGCGCCACCATATTGCGGAAAAGTCACGTAACAGGTTCTGCGGTGTGGCTTTCCCGCTTCAAACAGCGGGCATAAAGCAAAAGTATTTATATTATTATATGAAAATGTTTTTAATCTCCATATTTATTTTTCTTTAATTTTAATGAATTTCTTTTTGTCAATATAATCTGTGCTGTTAATTGTATAAGCGCGCAATTCGCCCTTGTGATTGGCTGACGGACAACGAAGAGCATCATGATTGGTTAATACACAAACACGATTGTTTATTATTGCAGTTATTGCCCCGCAGTGTGAATTTCCTGTACCAAATGTGAATAATTGAGTACCTTTTATTTCAATAAAATCAGCTAATTGATCATTTTAAAAAATTGCAAATATGTTACCGAAGATTACAATTGTACTGTACAATTTCCCGGTTTCGTATCCGTTTCAGTCTACTTCGCTATTTTACATTTCAAAAAATGTCAATAGATGGCGTTATCATCAATGTTTTTGAACATTTTAATAAAATGTTTATTTATGAAAACATACTTGTTTTTATCGATAGCAGCAATATAAAAAAGCTTTAAAATGGTGTTTGCATCAATAAATTTGATGAAGGGAAGGAAGTTATGGCGTACCGACAAAAGTACAATTGAGAAATAATTTATTCGGACTTTTTATGAAAACGTTAATTTACCCTCTTTATTTGGCATTTTTACTTCATATACATATTTAAAACTACGTCTGTTAGGAATTATGTCCTAAATGATCTTCAAAGTATAAAATTATATAAATTTATTATTTACATAAAGAAATAACTACATATAAATAAATTAAAATGTGTTTATAAATAACACAACGCGCGGTCCACAATAACAATTGTAAGTTTTCTTGTCGAATACAAAGAACATAAATAGTGATGAAAGTTGAAGGTGAAACATTTATATTAAGTCCCTCGACTAACTGTGTCTGTTGTCACTAAAATATTTACCTAAACCAAAACATTTATTTTCAAGCCAAAGTAACTTGATGCTATGAAACAAACACATATAAAAAATCTCAAGAAAAATGTTCAAAGAATGAATAAATCAGTTCTAACGGTGTGCGATAGATGGCACCTCAAGCCTAAAAAAATTCAAACTAGCTTTACATCAACATACTTTTTTATCTTCATTCTATCATCTTTGCTACGTCTCTCTATATATTTAACAATATGTATTTGAAGATGTATTGAAAAAAATTGGTTGAGGTGTTATAAGCATTGTTGCGGAAAAATGTTATAGTTCCATATATATATATATATAATTTAACATGGCGCGTAATTTAAAACAAGCAATTCATAAAAATATAACCAACAGTATACGGACCAAATAAAGCGAGCATGATGTTCAAGATAACTTTAATCCTTTCTATTATTCTACGTATTCATATACAAATTTTCGATCCAGTCTGTTTAAATATTATTTGTAAGTTGTGTGTGGTTTTTCGTCGTTACAAACTGGCAAGCGAGTAGGCGGTCTACCCGATGTGACATCTACGAAATGGCGTTACAGTTCCCACCTTGAAAAGAGTGGTAACCGGTTAGTCGACTTCCCAATAGGCAAAACATTTTTGTATTATTTATACAACGTTGTCGTGATAATTATCTAAGAGACAAGAGCAAATTTAAAAATATAACAATTACTGTGAACAATTTATGATACATTAAATATCCATGAACAAGGCTCAAATTAAGTAGGTACTAGTCATTAATATTAATAAATAACTGAGAGAACTAACACATAGCCAAGTTAACCGTGCCATGTTGAGTAAGTATTTCGTAATTCCGTATAATTTGCAGACACGACCGACTCAATAACCGATGCGTGTGAAGCAAAAACATTAGGGTGACGACACACTGGCTGATTTCATTCGATAGTTTAATATTATCTTCTTCTTCTTTCTCCTTATGTTGTTCATTAACAAATACCATTGTATAGGTTTTTACGACCGGCCGCCAGCCTGAAATCAACCCTCCTTCGGAACAAACACCCATACCCAGAACTATTATCTGTTGGTCGCCCAAATAATCGAACCCACGACCTCCAGCACTGAAGCCAAGCCAGAAAGTCTTAGCAACTGTATCACCGAGTCATCAATTTGACTTTTACAACTTTTATATTATTGGTCACAATTTAAATTCACTTTAATCGGTATTATTATCATAAATGATTTGTACTAGGGTCACACTGAAAGTTATAAGAAAATCATCTTAAAACGGCTCAATTCAGAAAGTCGGCAATACTTTTATTGCTGTTCGAAGTAGTCTCCGTTCCTCTCTATCTGTTTTCGCAGGTGATGGAACCACTGAGTCCATTCTTCCAAAGAGGCCGGATTAGGGGAGGACAACCGGGTAACAGCCCCGGTGCCTCCACAAACGAGGCTAATAAACAATAGCAAAACAACTTTTCCTTTCATATTTTTTTCGCGTTTTACTTTTACCTATAGTAATTTGTAACGACATGATTGCATTAAATATTAACAGAAATCAATAGAAAATAATTTGGGGCCAAGGGGCCTTCACTCGTTTGTTGCCCCGAGGCCCCCAGAGCTCTAAATCTGGCCCTGTCTACGGCATTTTCAAACGCACTATTCTATATTCAAAACTAGCTGTGTCTCGCGACTTCGTCCGCGTGAAATTTAAAATAAAAAATAAATCAAAAATAAATCAAATTCAAATTCAAATCATTTATTCATCGAAATAAGAAATATACATTTCATTTATCGATAGTCATTTTTTAAATCTACCACCGTTTCGTAATGAGGTTCCTCTAACGGAGAAGAAACAGACGAAAGAAACTCCGTAGGTATCCTCTTTTTTGTCATTTTTTTTTACTCAACAAATACATAGTTATACAGTACATATTTTTTATGTATAATAAAATTAGCCTAAGTTACTCCTTATTAAATCAGGTATCTGGCAGTGAAAGTCCTGTCCATATCGGCCCAGCCATTTCATAGATTAGCCGGAACAAACGGACAGACAGACAGATAGACAAAAATTTAAAAAAATGTTATTTTGGTACTAGCTGTGCCCGTGACTTCGTCCGCGTGGAATTTAAAATAAAAACAATTCTAAAATAAAAGTAGCCTAAGTTAATCCTTATTACATCAGCTATCTGTCAGTGAAAATCCCGTCCAAATTGGTCCAGCCGTTTCAGAGATTAGCCGGAACAAACAGACAGACAGACAGTATTAGTTAAATACATAATAAATTTTATTTTGTTTTTTAGTATTTTTTGTTATAGCTGCAGCAGAAAACTCCTGAGAAAATTTCAACTGTTTTTCAAATTTCAGCTTTCAATAAATGTTGTAAATCCAAAAACTCTAAAGATATGGAACGCCCTAGTATGCAAGCAGCATAATGTTTAGCGTACGCTAAATTGAAAAGACCTTCAATAATTTTGCTTATGAAGTAACTTCAGCATCGTCTCGAATAGAAATGTCTAGTCGACAATTGTTTTAAAGCAGAATGAAATATATTATTTAGCGTCGAACATAAACATATTTTTTAGTAATTACAATATGTTTCTGACAGTAACAAAATATTCAAGGTCAATATAAAATTAGTACATTTTATGTGAGAAGACAGCAAACGAGCTAGCGGTTCATATGTTAAGTGATAACCGCCGCTCATGGACATTTTTAAGACCCGAAAGGTTGCTAATGCTTTGCCACCTTTTAATAAAATGGGCCCCTGTTACTACAGTCACCAGATGAAACGTCGAAGTAAATCAATTCCCTTCACCCAGTCTTCTGTGCGGTCTTGGTTCAGCGAACGGACCTGCCTATTGGTGCAACAGTGAAGACTGTTGCGTGGCCCTACCACAGTTGAGTAAATTGCGTTGTTCAAAAAAATATATATGCATTCTAACAGCAGGACTGTACTACTCCACGGCATTGTTATCAACTGTTAAAAAAAATACTCACTTCAAAGACCCAGTAAACTTCACTAAATTTAAACCAAAACCTCTTAAATGAGAAACTAAATGTTTCAGGAAGTATTGGTTACAATTTCAAAAAGTCAAAGTTGAAGTCAAAGTGACACCCTAAAGCTCCGGATGATAACACCAAAAAGGGACAATTTAACCAGTAAATCCTGCAAAAAGGAATGGCAGAATTTAATTTCGACCCTATTCAAAGTACGAACAAAATTGCAGAGTTACTGCTGAACCATATAGCAGCAGAGCTTTTCGTTCTTTTGCCGAAACAAATCAGCGTCTGCCGGCCTTGTCTACATCTGAGTTAGGTCCAATAATGTATATGTTAAATATTTTCTCCGTACTCTATTAGATTATGAAGCGCATATTAAATACATTATGGATTTCACATAAATCGGTCGACTGGAGATCTTCTATTGTGGATCACGTTTGCGGCGTGGACCTGGAGACCAAGAAGAAGTATTTACAGTTTCCCTTGATATCTTAAAAGCCTCCAAGAGTATTTGTCACGCTAACCTTATCAGCAAACTTCCAGTTTACGGCATATCCCCTGAACTGGTCGGTCGCATGAAACGCTGTCCTAAGTGATCGTTATTTGCTCTTCTGTGACGGCCAACGCTGGTGTTCTTCAGGAGTATGTCCTTTCCGCAATTTTTTTCATGTATTGATGACCTGCTGATGCCAGTTGTCTATTCGTGCGCAGATCACAGCACAGTTGTGGAGAACTACCAAACGAGTGTTCGGGCCAGTTCCAACTCTTCTAAGATCTAACTGCTTAGAATAAAGAAAATACTCACGAAGCCAATTTCGGCCGGGGGTCCTGTGACGTCAGCGATGCCGACACCGACCCTCAGCGCCCGCGCGGAGATCGCGCAAACAATTACACAAGTGAGCACCAGCATCTGGAACAACAGATGCGCATTTAGTTTTGCGACGCGCAAGTTGGTTCCGTCAAGTAATACGATCATTCTCCGTTGATACAATATGACATTATTGTATTAAAAAAGAGTCGCCATCACTGCATACTATAAAACAAAGTCGTCCCGCTGTCTGTCTGTCCCTATAGATCTTTTAAATTGCGCAACGGATTTTGATGCGGTTTTCTTTAATAGATAGAGTGATTCAAGAGGAAGGTTTATATGCATAATGTAGTAGAAAAATACTGATAATTTTAGAGGTTTCTAATGCGATGTCGAACAAACATTGAGCATTGCACCCGTGTGATGCCGGGGCGGGTAGCTAGTAATGAATATGGCAGAAACACACCTTTATCATACTTGTTGAATGCATTAACAATGAGTTAACTGTGGTACCTGTGGGCCACGCAACAATACTTGCTGTTGCACGAATGGGCAGTTCCGTCCGGGTAAGTACCACTACCTCACAGAAGACGGGCGTAAAGGCCGTAAAATAGAATTTTTACACTCTGCGTTTCGTCTGGTGAGAGTTGCTATATCCAGCTAACGAAAAAAGTTTTTTTTTTAATGAGAAGTGGGACTGGGAACCATCAGTCAGACAAAACGTTAAATAAAACACACCGTTTATTTTATCAGAACATACTATAATAAATTCTTTACCGTATTGTAGTAAATCTCACAAAAAGTTAAATATGTTTTTTAATCTTGTATGTACTGGTTAATCTCCGAAGATCCTGGTGGCGATTCCAAAAAGATTTTTTTATTAATAAAAACTAAAAAAAATCCTAAGCATACAGTATAATAATATATTTACCATACAATATACCTACATCCTAAGCTAAATATAAACTTTTAACACTTCTTTTCCCCACATAGTATGGAATATTAGTCTATCCGCTCTACGATTTCGCTATTTCATTATAATGATATTTGCGGATTCACAATATGACCTTGGCGGAATACCACGCTCTGTATCAGAATACTACGTGTCAAACCCTGTCAAAAAAAATTGCTTGTTCCGCTGAATCGTTTAACGGAAGTCTGCGGCCAGAGATATGAAAAAAATTTCCCGCTTAGCCGTACCACAGACGTTACGTTCGAACTTCGAACTCATTAATTTTTTTTTAGTATAGGCAAAAGTTTTTGAAATAGTGTGTTTGAAATAGTATATAATGTTAGCGGATAATAGTTTAAACATTTTTTATTGTATTTATTATGGGATTATATAGTGTTCGTTCAATAAGTGAATATGGATTAACAATTTTAGACTATATTATTTAAATAATAAACTATATCTTAAATTTAAGAAGCAAATGAGTAAGTATATACACTGGCATCGTTATATTAAAACGACACGATGTATCTTTAATTAATTTGTAAACATTGTCAATTAAGACAGACCTTAATTGACAATGTTGTTAATATTAAAAACGGTTTAACTCCGTTAAAAACAATAGAAAAACGATTAACTAATACGGTTATCTTTGATGTTATGCAAATAAAGACCAGGTACGGGTGTAAACAAATTAACATGGATATGTTAATTAAATATTAACATTTATCTATTGTTGAAATGCCGCGTCTTCAATTTAAATGAAACGCACACCCTCTCACAGATTGTGATGCCAATAAATTTAGGTCCTACGTTTTTGAATGATAATATGATGTTTATTAATGTCTACCTGATTACCCACAAGTAATATTTTGATACAATTTTTAGAATAAATCACTTAGGACAGGGGTGAGCAACCTTTTTAATCAATGGGCCAATTTAAATTTCAAATTTTTTTGGCGGGCCGCACATAATAATTTACGAAAATTTATTTATAATAAATATTAGAATAAAAAAATATAAAATAAAAAAAGTAAAGATTTCATATACAAATTTTAATGCAAGGTAAAAACAAACAAGATAAGAACAGAAAAACGAACAAAAAATATTTCGGTTCAGTATGTACCATTTTATTATAATTAATTTTATAACAATATATTGATGGGAGAAATTCGATAAAATAAATTCAATTTTAGAAATGCTTGGCGGGCCGCGCATTGCTCATCCGTGACTTAGGAAATGTATAGAAGTAGCTTTTCTATACAGCGTGTCGTTACCACCGCGACAATAAATGAACACACATATAGAGTATAACTTTTTAAAATTGTATTAAACATTTACATTCTTTAAACATCAATATTTACCGAGTTATTACATTTTCCAAAACAAACAATTTTAGAACACCCTTACGTATAAAACTGTAACGTAAAGTTCATTTGTAAAGGTCACAAAGCATATCAATGGGTTGAATGAATTTAAAAGAGACAAAACATACTGTTAGAAGGGGAGGCTTGTAATGCGACGCTGTGGCGCGAGTTATATAGGACGTTACAAAGTTTGTTTCTTTTTTACTTAATTAGTTTGTTTGAAAATTTTTTTTTTTTAATTATGGATTTTGTTTAACGTTCATATTTTTTTATGATTATTGGCAAGTAGCGTTAGACGTGTGTTCATTTATTGTCGCGATGGTAACGACACGCTGTATATGGTGCAAAGCTATTAGCCAATGATAGGAACTGCCATAATGATTCACGAAATTATTCCAGTTTGCGTAGGAATTCAATACCTAATTAAAATCTCTAGTTTCAAAAAGCATAAGCGACTGAATTCTTCTAATGTTTTACGATTCTGTATAAGAACAGAAAATTAACCATATTTTAAACCTTAAATAGCCGATCTCTAACAAAAGTGGTCGACTTTTACGGCACTGCATAACAATATAAAAATTAATCTCATAACAGTTTATTAAATTAGTTATTTCAAAATGCAGCACTACTGAGGATACGAATGTGTCAGTCATATTCCCACTATTTAACCACGTTCAAACTCTTGTCACTCCCATGATTGATTTGACATTGGCAGAATTCTTTAAAGAGAAGCCATAAAGAACGAAAGAAGAAGAAGAACCTATGTTACCAACTTAAGTTATTTTACTAGTCCGTGTATTAAACAAATAAATCCTTTTAATGGAACCTGTCAAATGATAATCGAATACGCACTATAGATAGCTACATGTTTATCTGTTACAACCGTTGCGTCACGATTTTATTTATAAAATATTTGCAATCGCTGACTATTTAACATACAATACTCATGCTGTGTTCAAACATCTGTTTTTAAACTATCAAAATAACAGTGTCTGGCCACTGTATTTCGTATACCACTAACCACTTATAAGATGATTCACGTGTTTTATCGAAACAACCTAGGCCAGGAGGGATAAGTGTAATATAACAAGATAAAATTAAATGTACTTTTGCGTAATAAGGCCCATGCAATATCGACCTTTGCGTCCCATTCGTAAAAGTAAACTGATTTCCGTACTATTATAAGGGCAGCGTTTGTCTCTCCGCTTTCGTTCAACCTGAACATTCTAACACAAACCACGTTCCACGGAAGAGGGGCATTGTCAATGTCATTGCTCTATCGAACGAAGCGCATCGATTGAATAATAAATCAATGCATTGTAATGCTGTACTTCACAGCTGCTATTCCAGTCAATGGACTGCATACGTCTCTTTCATAAATTTGTCTATGCATACAAGTATTCCCGCCAAAATATGTCGTTGGTAAAAAAAAAAGAAGTATTATGTCACTTTCACAGTCGAATGGAATATGGAATATTCCGGTCATGTGAAAACGTTTTCTATTTCGAAATAACTTTCCTTTTCTATCCGCGTAATTGACACCTTCTGTTATTAATTTCAGCATTTTTATTTCTAATATTGTTCCTTTAAAATACCATTTTTGGCCGTTTGTAAATATTTCGTTTTTTAAATTTTGACCTAAAAAGACTTGTTGGCATTTTTTTATTTATCAGTCTCTTAAATTTCTATAAAGTCATGCTCAATGCTAAAAATGCGATGCTTTTTCATTACTACTAAAATCTCATGCCTTTGTTGACAATCCACTTCATTCGTGGCCTTTTCCGTAGCCTCGAATGATTTTCCTTAGGTTTGTCATAGTACACTTCGATTTCCCGTCGATTTATTATTACAACTACTAGGGTACTATTTACATTACGGGAAAACATTTAAATAATCCATAACATTTTATAGTTTGTCAAACTTTAAACTATTCAAATATGTACTTTAGTTAAAAACCTCTTGATATTTTAATTGGAAACTTTATTATCTATGTTATTTACAGATCAATAAATAACTAGATAATAAAATTAAGGCAATAAATAGCAAGTATATTAAGTAACAAATATACATGAACCTGTAAGTCTGCACTTTAAACGTTGCAAGAGAAATCTGGAACGACAGAATGCGGTATGTGTAGTTCTGTTTAAAGACTGACTGTCACACTTATTTAATGTTATTTTAAACCAAACTTTCTTACGAGTGGCGTTTTCAATTATATCAATTTCAAAACGAAGTATTAAGTCATTTTATTAGGTCGATAACAGATTTACGCAAATTGCACGGGGGTACGCACTTAAATCCGACAAATTACCCATAAATAAAACTAATAATGCACAATTGTGGCTAACATTTCACGAAAATAGGTAAATCTTTTTCTAGGTAACCATATCATTCCAAGGAAATAGAAAAAAAATATAATAGGCGTACGTTCATACGTACGTATACCTATTATGATATCATATTAACCTACTGAATTATATAAATCTAAAATTAGGTTCAACTTTTTTTTTACGTGAAAAGTTGCCAAGCGAGCAGGCGGTTCACCTGATGTTAAGTGAATACCGCCGCCCATGGACATCTGCTACAACCGAGGGTTCAGATGTGTTAACAACCTTTTGAAGACTGGGCTCCGGCTACCTCATTCACCAAACGAAACACGAAAGTATTTGTTATACTTCCACTTTACGCCGGTCTTCTGTGAGGTCGTGGTACTTATCCGGACGAGCCTGCCCATTCGTGAAACAGCCGAGCCTGCAGCGTGGCCTTACCACAGTACAGGTTCAACTGCTTTGGTAAAGTTGTAATGCCTATCACAAAAATAACGGTTGGAGACGAAGTGAACCAAGGAATTA